GTTTCTGTTGTTTCCCATTTTTCTTTAGAATCAAATTTCCAAGCTTATGGTAGACTTTGAAAAATGTCTTGATTATTTTATATAAGTATGTATACTGTATTAGTATTTGTTTCATTATGTAAACTTTGTAGAATGTATTCTTATTTTTATACAGTTATGAAAGACTGTAAGAAGCAGGTGTGAAGTATAAAAAGACTTAGAAATTATATGTTGATGAAACAAGAAAGAATTGGAACATTGTTTTGGTTTTGGTACATATTTATCTATTATTATCTGGGCAATCATGGATAATTATGGTGTTAACTAAAGTGTAATATGTTCATTATAGTCTAAAGTAGTGAGAGAGCATTGTATTTGGTGGAGATAACATTATTCAGAGTGAATTGATTTGTGGCCTTTTGTATGCACATGGACAAAGAGCACACATTAATTATATTTTGTCATTAAATATATTTTTATTGTAATTTTAAAGCTGTGTTTTGATTAAACGAGTTTCAATGGGACAGTGGTAATGAAATAAACACCTGTCAGCTGTCAGGAGGTCATTAGCCAGAAATAAGGTAAGGGTCTGTGTTTAACATTTAATCTCTGTTAACAGAAGCTGTTATTACAGTTTCCTCTGATATAATGGGCCTATGTGAAGGTTGTAACAGTACATTGTATGTTTATAACATCCCATCACACAAAAAATTGTGAATACTGTATATGAAGCAAAGTGATAACAAATTACACCATTACCCCATTATCAATTTTATTAACAAATAAAATATACTTTAGAAAAAAGAGAATTGATGGTGACAGCAGCTGACAAGACTAGAGTTTCCTGATAACAAATGATGAGCATTGCCAGGTTTTCACACAAAGCCATCACCAGCACTGTATTTGCATTTACTGCTATATTTATATATGAGACATATAGAACACAAAGGGTGAACGCACCACTTTCCCAATTTTCTCACCACCTGGTAGCCTCTATCGTATCCTTGGGAACCTACAGGAAAGGGGAAATTGGGAAAGAGGCGAGTTCGCCCTTTGTGTTCTATATGCCTCATATTTCCTTAACTGTCATTATTTTTATGAGTGATATTACAGTGGTCCCTCGGTTAACGAGCACAATCCGTTCCAGCAGGTTGCTCGTCAACCGAAAAACTCGTTAACCGAAACCATTGTTTCAATGGGCTTTTGGGTAATTGGTTCCAGCTCACCGAAAATTGCCTAAATTCAACAAAAAAGGTAGAAAAGTACACTTACTTTGAGGTGTGTATGTAGAAGGCTCCTGGATGATGATGATGATGGGAATTAGAATGGGGGTGGAGGAGAAGGAAGAAGAGAAGGCATTGGGGTGGAAGAGAAGTCACCCCATGGCACCATTTCACCCATAAAATTTTAGTTCTCTTGGTGTATTTCAAGATTATTTTCTTTAAATCAACACTGCACTGCATTATATATTGTCAATATGTAAAATATATTTCAAAATGACCAATAATTTGCTTGGAAACACAGAAAAAAAGCGTTTAGTTGAAGAGTCTCAAGCAAGATGTTACCTCCACTGAAAACAGAGAGAGACTAACGCCTGTCTGGTGTGTTAACAGGCTGGATGGCACGCCAGAAACTAGTTTCTTTACCTTCAATTATGTTCAATAATTGTTAAAATGACTAAAAAAGTTAATATTAAACTTTTAAAATTATTGAATAGTATAAACTTCTTGATATTTACTAAAATAGTAAGGAATTTAAGCCCTAAAACCGATTACTGTATTAGCGGACTAATACTACAGCTGGTGGACCGCCAAATACAAGCGAAAACACGTTGAAGTCGGCTCATAAAAAACTCGTTAATCGAGGGATTGCTCGTTAACCTTAGTTAAGAATCTTATGGAAGGTAAATCGTTAACCGAAATCTCGTTAACCAAGGCGCTCGTTAACTGAGGGACCACTGTATACGACAAACACCCAGAATGTATAATCCTCTTACCATGCCCAAGTCCTCTTTAAATAAATTTGCATACTTTCAGTCTTCATATGATGTACTACAGTACATGCTACAGTACGGTATAAAAATTTCTACTGTCCTGGCAATAGTCATCACTTAACACTCTCAATGTCAGGGGGCTGGGGAGGCAACCATACCCCTTGTTGTCAAGTTGTAGCCAGGCTACTCACCGAGTCATTATTACTCAATAGAATTTATATCCTTGTTTTTAAAATTCTTGAACATTCTAAATTAGGTAAAACCCTTTTTTAAACAAATTGAAGGAATCTAGTTCATCTAGAATGTTATGTTATTTATTTATATATATATATATATATCATACAATCAACACCTCAACCGCCATTGACGTTCTCATGACTGTATTCAAGGAACACTACCTCTGGACCACCAGGTGGTCCAGAGGTAGTGTTCATTGGTCAAGTCATGATGTATCCGTGCTTTATTGATAATATATATATATATATATATATATATATATATATATATATATATATATATATATATATATATATATATATATATATATATATATATATATATATATATATATATATATATATATATATATATATATATATATATATATATATATATATATATATATATATATATATATATATATATATATATATATATATATATATATATATATATATATATATATATATATATATATATATATATATATATATATATATATATATATATATATATATATATATATATATATATATATATATATATATATATATATATATATATATATATATATATATATATATATATATATATATATATATATATATATATATATATATATATATATATATATATATATATATATATATATATATATGTTGATAACACAAAAGGACGAGTCAGCGCTGTGGTCTCACATCTTCAGGGTGAGTACAGACTGTATTCACCCCTGAAGATGTGGAATTACACGAAAGCGCTTTGGGAACTTCGTGGTTTTCTTTTCCTTGTGGTTATCAGCATATACCTAGATCACGTGCACCTACAGTGATTTATTTGCATATATATATATATATAATATATATATATATATATATATATATATATATATATATATATATATATATATATATATATATATATATATATATATATATATATATATATATATATATATATATATATATTTCATTAGCCCAATAAAGCACGGATTTCTACATTGAGCTTTGTCACATCTCGCTAGATTAATCCCACGGCATTGGTTGCCATGATGTGACCGGGAACGCTAACCGCTGGACTGGTCACAGTCATAGGTTTGTGCCGTGGGTTCAATCCCATGGTTGAGGTGTTGAAAATATATATAAATATATATATATATATATATATATATATATATATATATATATATATATATATATATATATATATATATATATATATATATATATATATATATATATATATATATATATATATATATATATATATATATATATATATATATATATATATTTTTTTTAATTAATATTTATATTTGAAAATGTGATGAATAATATAATTCTGTTTTGAAGCTTTTACATTTTTCTATGGAATAAAAAAAAATTATTTTAATACAAGCATAAATATAGGTATGAGAGTAAATCAATCAAATAAAATAAAGACAGAAAGAGAAAAAATAGTACAAAGGCATGTGCTACTTTCATGAGTGTGCTTTAGCATGAATGAGAAGTGCAGCTGTCAAACAGACACAAAGATAATCATTCCAATACTGTACTTTGCAAACCCCTTTGGGGGCGAGAGAAAACGATTTCTAACCTTTTGCAGCAATGAATGCATAGTCTCTCCTCATTTAGAGTCATTGCTGTAAGGATGGCTGGTATATCTAAATAAATTAACAAATTAAATCTGGCAGACACTGGGGGACCTGTCATAAGGCAGAATCACATTAGCACTTTTTTCATAATTTTCTTGCATAAATTTTCCTAGGGACTGTCATTTCTCTGAGTGCGACTTGTCACACATGCCTCTAGAACCAGAATGCCAGTCATTCTGTGCTTATCAACTGTAAACCCAGGCACTCTTAATGTAAACAAACATACCTGTATCTGATGTATTTAGGAATATCAACATTAGTAAAAATATATACAGTCAGCCTAAGATGCACCGACCCCACCCTGGGTCTCGTGCTCGCAATTTTACCTGGCAATACTTGGTAAAGTAAGGCTGTATGTAAAGGTGATTGTGATTGGTGGATCTGTTTTTGGCTGTATCACTGTCAGGATAATTATAAAACAAACCAAAGGTAGAATTTTTATAATAATAAACTATTCATTGTTATTTAAGGTCATGAGAAGTTTCAAAATGTTCGTATACTTGCTTAAATAATGAAGAAAATTATATTAATGAATTGGCAACTCAACTACAACTACAGCTGTCACAAATTTCACATCAATTTTTTTTCATTATTTAAGCAAATATACGAACATTTGGAAACTTCTCATGACCTTAAATAACAATTAATAGTTTATTATTATAAAAATTCTACCTTTGGTTTGTTTTATAATTATCCTGACAGTGATACAGCCAAAAACAGATCCACCAATCGCAATCACCTTTACATACAGCCTTACTTTACCAAGTATTGCCAGGTAAAATTGCGAGCACGAGACCCAGGGTGGGGTCGTTGCATCTTTGGCTGACTGTCCATTTAAGCAATTAAAAATGTGATGCTGAATAATTTTAAAATTAAATTGAGTTACTTTATGTGGCTCAATGTTTAATTTAACATAACTTTCCAATTATTGAGTATGGATTTTGATTTGACCATGGAAATTTGGTGCAAGCCAATCGGGTGGAAATGATATGTATCATCTGAATGATACTGCATCTATGACAAAAAATAGAAGTGTTGATGCAAAACGTGTTAGTGAAACTGCCTTTAGTAAGTTACCCTAAATCATGAGAAAGATTCTCATGAAAGTGCAAAATTATTATTTACAATGAGAATTGTCAATTATGAGAGAATACTGTATATATTAATTCTTTTATTTTACGACAAGAAATGTGGATCTGGATGGATATAAGAACCTGTTTTAGTGTAGAGAATCCTTGAGTGTTAAGTTAAACTCTTGACTTGAAACCTCTCTAGCTAATAAAACCACCTGTAGATCTGGCAATAGTTAAGAGTTATGGGAAAAAATTATATATTGACTCTGGTTAACAGAAAAACATTATCTAAAAGATGGTTTACTTGGCCATTAAGGAAATAAACCTGTAGGAGTTTACCAGATTCTACCTTATGGTACTTACTGGCTGGATTTCACCTAGTCACTAATGAGGTCCCTTAGGTCATAAAATAAAGCCATTGTTAATAAAAAAATGACAGAAGATTGTAAGTCAACAAGTGACAAGTACCATTAGCATCCTTGCAACTATCATAACTTCAGTCATTATTTCCTACCATTTACCTAGTAAACTACATGACTGAGATAAGTTTGTCTTTACTAACACATTTTCTATCCTACTGATATACAGTAGCCACTACCTATGCGTCTAGCTTTAATACTGGTACAGTACTTGAAAATTTAATTGAAATAGAAATGAAAAAGTTCTATTTGTAAAATGTACATGTTAATATTTCAACAACCCTATCATTCATAGTCTTTATAATGCTGAACCAACATTAAATAATAATAATAATAAATTAGCTATTAAATTAAGTGGCTAAGATAACTCTAGCTTAAAAATGAATTTACAGGTATTGTATTTCATCTTAAGATTACTGTATAATGGTTTATGAACACAGTCTTTACATGATATTGTCTGAAAGACAATTTAACAAATAAATTTTAGAAGTTTCCTGTTATTGTATAAGCAGTACAAGTTCATAACATGTCATTATTTATCAGTATTAAATAAATTGAAATGTTTAAGAAATCTGTCCTAAATTGTAAAAATAAAAAATAAAAAATCTGACAGTTATTAAAGATGGAAGAAAAGTTTTTACTAAAAGTCAAATTCCTGTCTAGAGAGTAATCCACATGAGAGAATAGACCATCATCAGAGCATGACACGGCCAGGAAACACAAGTTGCTTGTGCATCCTCCCAACGCTGGGTTCAGAACTTTGCCAACTTGCGGGAGTAACTGTATTCCTTTCCCCCTGTCCTAGTGGTAGGAAAAATATATATTAGTGAAGTATATTTCTAAAGTAGTTTTTAAGATCATCTTCTGAGAATTTTGAAGTTCAATGTGATTTCAAATAATTTTTACTAAAAATAAAACAGCATCATGAATCTGTAGGAAGTGTGGTATTTAACACTTACACACCGCCTTCTTTGTAACATCATTCCCTCCCACATATGGGGCTAGTTGTGACCCTTAAACACGTAAGAGCCACGCTGAATCTTTTTCCTTCCGATTGATTTTTTGGCAACCGGCAAATTTTTTTGCATACACTGTACTATCAACTATGGTGATCTCCCCGTTAGCCAGAATCCCCAGTCCCCAGAACTCTCTAATAGCTGGAATTGATTTTGAACCGGAAAAATTCCAGGAAAACTCTCTCCATTCCGGGCATGGGAACGAGTTTCCAAGGATGAAAATCACGTGCATTTTCAATAAAAATTCTGATAAAATCTGCTCTGGTCATGGGAAAATTTTTTCCAGGAGTTCTGAGAGACTGCATCATGCTTCGATGCATCCCCATATGCCGGTGAGCAGGTGGGCTAGTTGCTTGGGTAACTCATGTGGTTAGTTCATAATCTGCCACTGTACAAGGCTGATTCCCCCTTTGCTGCTTTTTTATGTACAATTTGTGTTGTGCAATATTGTACATTACTGTACCTGGACATCAACTAAGAATACAGAGTTAAAGCATTGTTAAGACATAAAAAGTGATTACATTTACAAATAATGTAATGTACATTAAGCAGAGTGGACAGTGAATGCCTACTGTAGGCTCAAGACCACAGCATCTGCTGGTGATTACAGTATATGAGGCACTTGTAAAGGATTGCCAACAAGGTTTTATGCCGGGGCACTCCTGTTTAACACAATTACTCAAGGTACTGGATATTTCGACCCATATTCTGGAACAGGGTGGTAATATTGACAATATATACCTAGATTTTGCAAAGACTTTTGACATTGTACCCCATGAAAGGCTAAAAATTAAACTGGAAGGATATGGGATTCAGGGAAATGTCCTAGCGTGAATCGAAGACTTTCTAAATTACCGGAAGCAGTGTGTGGTGATAATGGCACGAAATCATCATCCGTACCTGTCACAAGCGGGGTACCACAGGGCAGTGTATTGGCCCTGTTGTTTGTTTGCTTCATAAATGATATGCTTGATGCTGTACATTCCTCCATACAAATGTTTGTGGATGATGCCAAGTTATTTCGGGAAATTAAGAACCAAGCGGACTGTGAAGAGCTGCAGAAGGATCTCTGTGAGCTCCAAGAAAGGTCGAAGAAATGGCTGCTAAGATTCAATGTCACAAAGTATAAGAGGATGCACCTGGGACGTACCAACAGTAAGGAGATGTATCGTATGTCCCAACGGGATGAAGAAACTGCATTAATTGAGACTCAATGAAAAAAGACCTAGGTGTGTATGTTTGAAAATGAGCTGAAGTTATTGGGCCATTGTGAGAAGAAGGTAAATCAGGCAACTAAATTGTTAGGTCTTATATGAAGGTCGTTCAGATATCTAGACGGTCCATCCCTTGTAACAATCTTCAAGAGTGAAGTGCTTCCCCGTCTGGAGTACTGTCACCCTCTCTGGTCCCCAAGATATGCAAGGGACTGTCAGTTGATTGAAAATGTCCAAAGGAGGGCCACCAGACTGGTGCCTGCACTACGGCACCTGAGCTACCATGAGATTGAGCGCCTGAACTTGCCTACAGACGGGCAAGGTGGAGACCTAATTGAGGTGTATAAGCATCTCAAAGGGCGCTAATCAGTCTCGAGTGCCCTTACCTGGAGCTGGCGGATGCTCACCCCACAAGGGGTCACAGACCAAGTTTGAAGAAGCCACAAGCCCAGAAAACTGTGAGGTGTAACTTTTTTGAAATGAGAGTTGTGAACTCTTGGAACAATCTGCCAGAGAGTGTTGTGACGGCACGGAGTGTGAGCTCTTTCAAGATAATACTTGACAAACACCGGAGCAGGTTCAGATACATTCAAGAGCCAGTGCATGCCCAGTATTTGCCAACAGTGCATAACAGACGTGACCGATCGCCCAAGCAGCTACGAGCCGATCAGTGGTGAAGAGGATAAAAGTAAAATAAGTAAATAACCTGCTAAGAGCCATATACTGTACTGTATTGCAGAAACCAGTTATGTATAGCATTGTATTCCCCAACCTTTCCTCTGTCCCAAGGGTAAGTTAACAAGCTGACTGAGAACCTGTTAGATGAATCCACATTAGAGAAACTTGACATCTTAGAAGATTAATAGGGATAGAGGAACATGGCCATGGAAATTCACAAATTATTATAAAGATTTGTAGATTTTTTATATGGTATTATAAAAAACTGTACCTATATTGTATTGCATAAAAAAAAATATATATATACATATATAATAAAATCAAACAAAGACAATCACATAAAGAGAAACATGTACAGTACTGTACACATAAATGAAAAAACTTACCATTATTGAAAAAAACAATTGTAAAAGCAATTATAAAGACTTTCACATTCGATAAAATAAAATAAATGGAATACTGTTTAAGAGTACCTTCAAAAAAATCAACTTGGACAGCACAGTTCTTAGCAATACTACAGCTTATATGACTGTTATATGAGACTGAGGGTAAGAGAGTGGTGTGGAGAGGGAGAGGAAAGTGGAGACCAACTGATCCAGAAAGTACAACTGGCTTACTGTAAAAACCCAAACGATTCACAAATACGCAGACACTATGGGGATATAGATCAACTACTATATCTCAATCTGTCTCTAATGTAACATCCTGCCCATGTGAGAGACACCTTGGGCCAATTCATCAAGTTCATTGTAATTCCATTGTATATTAGGCAAGCCTAGCTTGAGAAGTCACAATGTCAGAGTACACACTGATGTGTACCTTCTAGTCCTTAAAAAAAAAAGTAATATTTAATGTTGCTTATAGTTTGGAATGTGTAATGTAGATAGGATGTTATACTCTTAGCATAGGCAAATTATTTTGGGTAGTTTAAGTCAAGGAAAGTTGACATCATAATGTCAGACTATTAACATTAACACTCAATTGCATGCCCTATTATAATACATACCTAACTGATGCAGGATATGTAATTCCAAGCTGTGGGCAGTTTCCAATAATTTCTTCATTATAACCAATAATTCCATCACAGTCCACCAAGTGTAAAGATTGGTCAAAGCATAACTTGATCTGTGACAATTCATGTTGTTTGGTTTTCTGAAAATAAATAACAGGAAGTAAAGTAGCAGTTTTGAATGGAAAAGCTTAAATAGTTGCTAAAGAAAAACCTCTCAAGTCTGGCATGCCAAAGTATAGTTATACCTGAAAAGTGTTTTTGTTTTGTTTTAACGAATATTACATTTAAAAGATACTTAGCTATGTGAAATCTTGGCAGTCCAACCAAAATGTGGAACTTCTGCTACCTCCTGCTTTCAATTTCTTCGACTTAATTCATAATTTTACCTAAAACATTTTTGCTCTCAACTATAGATTGTGGAAGTACTGTAATGTGCATACTTGGTGGTGGTGGTGGCTTACGTTTCTGAAAACTGGAAATTTCCCAAATCTGGCAACTGCTAAATCCTAAGGGTGATGACTTTGGGAGACTTTACTGTACTCGAAATTTCAACACTTCCTAAGTGCTACTGTTTAACTGATATACAGTAGTAGTGTCTAATGAATCCCAAATAATCATTAGCAAATTAAGAATGTATTTTTTTTTTACTATAGTACAGTATAGCTGGTATAAAGCAGTTCAAGTTTTGCTGTTAAGTGATGTCAGATCTAGCAGGGGTGAATTAGGTTTGGTGAATTCCCTTTTTATACAATTAAGAAATTACAGTACAGTACTCTGCAATAGCTTAAACAAACAAAACCATAAATCTATAGAAAAGGTATATTTCCATAAGTTTTGAAAAGCACAAAATCTAAGAACTGTATTCATTAAGATTCATATACAGTAATTTATGTTTTAAAACATTGTAAGATACAATACAGTCACTGTAATTACTACATGGTTTGATAGGATGTGTTTTTTGCCAATACAACAAATAAAGAAAAATTTTTAATACTGGCATCTCTGAATCATTGTGGTTTCTGTCCCATTTTTATATTTTTTTGGAGGGGTGGGGGGAAACGGTATAGTACTGATATCTACCATCATTATTATAGATGGACTCTATAAGAGTATTGAGTAGTCCTTATTTGTGACAGAAACTGCCAGCCACCCAGCCTGTCTGTAGCACCATGTTTGAATATCAGAACACTATAAATCCCCGTTTCCCAACCCTAGGTCTTGGGGTCGCGAAGCACTTCTGCCACTTCATGGAAAATTCCCACAAATCTGTAAGAGAAATAGGCCTATGTGGGAGGTGTTGAATGAAATTAACGTCAACCAGTGGAGTCGCGGTCATGGCTAGAGGTGCGTGATTGGGGTCGCTAGAAAAAAAGGTTGGGAACCACTGCTATAAATATTCAAATTCAGCACAGAAGTAATTTAATACTAAATACTATGCTGTACTCATAAACAACATTCCCTGCATTGTGACATGAATTATATGTAACATCTAGAAAGTGATTCCCTACCACAACAGTTGAGTGTCAAATGAGGTATGTGTAATGTATGGTGGAGGTGTGAAATGTTGTCCTCGAGTTGAATTGGTTGCTGAGCAGTTGAAAGATCCCATTATTTAGATACAATTTAATCTAAATCAAATTATGAAAACTACAGCATAAATAAACAGTACTGTACAGTCAACACAATCCACATTTAAGTACAAACTCATACAGGTATACGTCTATACACAAAAAACATTCTTACATTTATATACTGATACATATCATCATCAATGTTTATATCAATTATTATCCATGCTTGCATAGGTTAGCAGTGATTACCTGATAGCAACTTTCTATGCTACAGAGTCACTTGCAGCCTATTTTGTCAGGTTCTTAATTCTGATGTCTTTTGTTAAAATCTCTCCCCCCACATAATATTTTGGCCTACCCCTAGCTCTCCTCTCTTCCACATTTAGATCCATGCACCTCTTGATCCAATTGGTCTCCTCCATTCTTTCCACATGCCCAAACCATCTCAGTCTACTTACAGTGTCACATTACATATCCACCTCACCATTCTCATTTCAGCTAGCTCAGGCCTGCATATGTCATCTTCTTTAACCGCCCATGTCTCACTAACATATACTATCAAATGTCTTATGCCAATTCCATACATTTTTCTTTTCACATGAAGGGAAGGTCCTCTTGCTGTCAATAAAGGCAGCAACTCCTTCAACTTTCTCCAGGCACTTTTGAATCTTGAAAATGAGCTAGCTTCAGTACTATTTCAGGCACAGATCGTGTCAACCATGTACCAGAACTCAATGACAATTAAGGGGATACGTCCCCAATATTGAGTTTCTCCAGCCTAAGGCCACACACTACCAGCACATATAAACACTTAAAGTCAGGCCATCCTGTAGTCTACCATTTACACCAATGAACCTCTTGTGTATCCCCCTTCCACTCTATCTGAACATCACTGAGTTGCTGCCAACACCTTCAGAGAGCACATGGCCATTTTCCACTTTCCACCATAGGTCCTTCACCCATTCTACTAATTAATGCTTTTGTTTTCCCTATATTCCTTCTCAAGCCCTTTAACTCTATTCCAACCTAATACAGGGTATTTCTTAAATCACACACCATCTAATACCTAGACATATACACTCTTAAACACACACATGGATTCCTATACATATACATAGATTTATACATATACAGTATACTCTAGCACTTGCAGATTTAAATTCTGGCAGTGGCCCAGGTACAACCAAATCTACATTAAATCATTTAGGCTACAGCATAAAAATGTCCAAGTTTTATTAAGTGAATTTCAATTGGTAATTTCACTGTTCACAACCCCAACACCACTTTGGTAATAAGACAGGTTAATCATTTACTGTTGAGTTGCTCTTAATAACAAGGAATGTTGAGTGATTGGAAGTTCCAGTTGATTTTTGACAGGTATAATCATTTGACTGTTTTGTACTTTAATAACTACGAATCCCTGCTGTTATAGTACAAATGAATACTTCTCCTTTTCAGACTGGGTTAAACCTATCATTTCCTGTCTGGCAGAATGATACATCAACACCAAATGGAAGGTAAGTAACTACTGTAGCATGTGTACAGGAATGGAAACATCAACTGCATGAAATTTTTCCAAGTACAGAACTTGATCCAACATTATCCGTAAACTTATCACAAACCACTATTGTAGGCAGTGCACAGCATTGATTTTTAGCTCGGCTGGTAGAACCAGTGTGAGCTTTAGTCATGATCTACTTGTCTATTGAGGCCTTAGTATAGTGCTGTATATACACAGGCCCTAATAGATTTGCCGGTTAGTTGTGTCTCACTCTTAGGATCCCCAATAAATCGTGCTACAGGATGACCTCACAATTTCCACTCTATATAAATGATGTGGCTTAGAAATACAAGTAAAGAAAAAATGTATATAAAACATAAAATAAGAAAAATTAAGAGCATAGCTGTGTATGTGTTGAAAGTGAATATGTGTGGAGGCGGTGGGCTATAATTGCATCGCTGACTAGCCAGCCCAGCTGCTGCATATATTTTACTGTACAGTACATGTAATGAAACTATGAAAGTTCTCGAAAAATCATTAAAATACTTAAAATGTGGCTTAAAAATAAAGAAAATATAATATAAAACTATAAAATAAGAAAAATTATGAGCATGGTTGTGTATGTGTGTGTAGGCGGTGGATTACTGCATGGCTGTGCTCCCTCCCAATGTGACATCACGGTATATACACAGCCAGCGCAGCAGCCACACGTCAGTGGGTCGACTGGGATATTGACTGCCTGAACTGTGTCGTGTTGCCTAGAGAATGGTTTGAGCGTGGAAGGGTTTATTTTTTTAACATAAAATGTGTTACAGTAAACGTTCAAAAGTCTGAACAATTTGGGGCTTAAGGGATTCCAGACTTGCTGATTGTCTGGACTTTTACCAAGTGGGGGTTCTGAGCCACTGTGCATTAAGCAGCCACACATCCCCCAATGACCCTTAAAATTCAAATTTAATGTGCAATAAATGTCATGTGTGTTTCCTTTTATATTTTTCTTTATGTATATGTAGTACAGCTCATTAAAAAGTAATTACTTCATATAAAATATATTACCTTATTTATTATTAAAATATATGGGGACATTGTATAGTGATCTAATCAAATTTGATATAGGACCAACGAGATTAATAGGTACGAGAGATAACACTTCATGTGTAAACGTGCTGGAGATGGGAGGGGTTGGACTGGCCGTTGCCGTGTTCGCCAGTTTGTTTTTATTTATTCATTATTATATTTTCATTTGAACAGCCACTTATGGTGTATATTTCATCATTAATAATAATACAACATATTAAAGAATACAAAAAATATGATATACAATTTGTAATTTAACTTCAAAATAAAAGGGCATGCACAGAAGGCAATCTCTTCCCTGACCTGCTTGAAGGCCAGCTTTTGACCTGATTCATTATTATTATATTTCTATGTGATCAACCTCTTATGGTGTAACTATCTATCATAAATAATATAGTCTTCAATAACAGAAAAAATAAATAAATAATTTGTGTTTTGACTTGAGAATAAAAGGATATGTTGTATTGAAGGTGATGATGTCTCCTTCCTCCCTTGCACAATGTAGTAACCTAACCCCCCAAAAAAAAAAAAATATCATTATGATAGAAGCTATTTATTATGATGAGAAATAAAAGAAAACAAGGTATTAAGATGAAGTCATTTATCGTATTGTATATTTTATCATTTTCATTTTAAAATATTGTGATGGAAACAGATTGAATGAAGGTGTGCGTGTGACATATGGATGATGCAATACGCGCTCGTCTTCTGCTCTCTTCCTGGGAGGATTACCATCACCATTGTCTGATTGAGTTTACGTAAACTCATACCATTTTTCAGTGGCTGAATGCGTTGTACTTAATGCCTGGGATGACTTTGTGTGATAATTTATTGTGTAACCAATACAAATTTGACACAGGGCTAGTGGGGGAAGCGTGTTCTAGTGCTTAGGGGAGGAGCTAACCAATCACAGTGCAGCATTACGGGATAGTCCATTCTAAGAATGGGGGAAAACCCTGCTCACTCACAGGTCCGAGAGGACAGGCTAGAGGAGAAGAGAGGCCTCAAGGAATTGCTAGATGGTAGGAATTTCATACAACAAATATTTAAGGGTTAAGACAAATGTTTCTTGCCTGGACAGAGACCAGGCATTGTATCTTATGATTTTATGATACGCTATGTATCAATTTTATTGTTTATCATAGCAATAAATATAAGAGCTCATCCCTGTTGCACACCAACTTATGATTCTACCTGATTTTGGAGGAAATTGTATTTTTATTATTATTATTATTATTATTTCAATTTGTGCTGGTTAGTTGAATATGTCAGTTGCATGGATTCTGGATAACCGGGATTCTACTGTAGTTAAAATCACTCACCAGAAAATAAACAACATTTATAAGAATTTATGGCCCGAGTGAAGAGAGAGAGAGAGAGAGAGACAATACAGTACCTTGTTATAAATGCAGTTAATGGCTGGTTCAACTCCAAACATATCTTTGATAGCAATATAGATATCATTACGGCTATAGGTCTTGACATCATCAGGGAATATGTTATGCTTGCTCAAAACAGCCACATAATCATAATGGGTAACCCACTCTAAACCTGGAAGATGAACAATTATTAATTTTAACATCATAACAATGGCAGGGTGGGGAAAAGTGGTATCGCTTGTACATATATATAGTCCATAATTAAGGTTGTGTATAATTTCAGTTGAGTTTTTGTTATCTGCTACTATAGTAAAAACATTAACTAAAGAACAAAAATTATCTTACTTCATGTGCATAACCAGTGACTAGAACATCAGTGTATTTACAAGTTTATCTATAAAAATTAATTCATAAGTCAATAGATAACATCTTAACAGATCTGTATGGTAAAGTGTAGACAATGAATTGCTGTATCAAGGTACAGTACTATTCCCCAAAGTACTCTTTCATGTCAACATTGACCTGCTTTGCTATTCTTCAAAATGATTAAGTTTCCTTTAACACATTTTAATATTTAATAAAGTATAATAGAATACAGGTATCTCTCGCTTTACAAACATTATTTTTTAGAAGTTTCACCTCTTTCTTATTGAATGAAAGTTACTCTCACTTATACAAATTTTGGTTTGAGCAAAAATTAAAATTACAGCAGAACCTCGATAAATCGGACTAATTAGGCAGGCCCCACCCCGAAAAATGAGAATATATGGGGGAGTTGGAGATAACACTGCTTATTTGAACTGTTTAAAGAAAATCAGTTGTTGTTATGTTATTACTGCACTTCAGCAACTAAGGTTTTTAAGTGTATAACAAGGTTATTAAAAGAATATTACATCAACAATAAAAAAAAATATGAAACAGAACTCTCTGGGTTGAAAATCAGACATGTAAATCTGGTTGTCAACAATTGTTTTCACCGAGATGATTGTTATTTACTGGAAAGTGTTATATGTAAGTAACCACAGAATTTGTCTTATGAATAAATAAAATACTGTATACTGTAGAGTACAATAAAGATAAAAATAAGAACAAATAAGTATTGGAGTACAGGTACAGTAATATATTGTACAGTATGTGGAAGACGAATGTTTATCTGGGAGCAGCTGGTGAAGGGGGGAGTAGTATGGGTGGGTGGCTCCTTCCCCTCTCCCACAAGACTTTTAACTTATAATTGCACCACAATTCTCATATAATTTAGGATCATTTGGTGCCAGGTTGTTAAATATTATCCTAAAAGAATCGGCTTTCCTGAAAAAAAGAATCCCACACTGAAAACCATGAGTCATTTCATACTTACAGTGGGGTATGCTATAACGAACGGATCCTACTACTTAATATTCCTATAACGAATCTAAGTTTACCTATAAAATTGAGAATGCTATAACGAACGCAACTCCTACAACGAACGTGGATGAATACCGACTATTTCGTTGCGCATGAATATATATTGTTGTCCCGCACCCACAACAAGAGCGGCCAGGCCATCTTTGTCTCATTGTGTAGCCAGTGCACCACTGTTATTGTTGAAATTTCGTCTTTTGATGTGAAATTGCGTTATTTGTATAACTATTTTGTTATACAAGTATACAATTGTAACAATGAGTCGTCCAAAGCAGTGAGAAAGCTAATAACCCTTGAAACTAAGAAAGAAATTATAAAGAAACGTGAGAATGAAGAAGCATTAAGTAACTTAGTGATGAATATGGGATGGCTAAATCGACTATATGTACGATTTTGAAGAATAAAGAGGAGTTAAAAAACTGTGCAAGTGGCTAAAATCTTTAGACTTAGCAAAGCAAGGTGTAATGTGATTGAAGAGATGGAAAATTTACTCTTAGTGTGGATAAAGGAGAAAAGAAATGGCAGGTGGTAACATTAGTGAAGCTAATTTTAGAGAAGGCTAAACAATTGTTTGAGGACCTTGCCAAGACTCCCAGTGGAAGTGATAGTGATGCCAGTGTTTAGGGTACCTGCATGCTGAATAACACTAAGGTAAGATAAAGTACCGTATTTTTTACATTTTCCACAGAATTTTTTCAGTGTTAAGCGGTTGTATTTGGGGGCCTGGAACGGATTAATCCTATAACGAACGAATGCTATAACGAACGAGGTTCTGGAACCAATTACGTTCGTTATAGCATACCCCACTGTATTTGTTTACAATCTGTAAACAGCTGACTGGCTTACCACAATGTCTATCTTCAATACTTTAGTAAATTAGTTCAGTACAGTTGTGTATTATCATCACTTAATAAATACTAATGTAGTGTGTTTATCATCACTTAAGTAATATTGTAGTGTAAAGTATTAATCCCCAGCCTGCTTACATACTCAAGTGTCTTAGTTCTCAGTAGACCTATTGCAAATATGATTTGACCACTGTACAGTATTCAGTAAGTGTTGTTCATTTCATAAGATTAATTATTTAATCTTCCCCATTTCTTAAAGCTGTTTTTTTTTCTTAGTATTTCTGGTGACAAGAGCATCTCAGAGTCTGAAAAAAGCGAATCTCGATGAATTGAAGTGCGATTTATCGAGGTTTTACTGTACATGCCCCTAAAACATATCCTCTCTTACTGTATGAATCGGGTTATGGTTATTTTTCAACACATAATTTCTGGCCAATATATGTAACTTTCTAAATTTTTTTTTACTCAGTTACATACACACATAATCCTACATACAGAATGTGCAAAAATACATGAAATAATAATTATCTTAAGGTAAGAAAACATACAGGGAATAAACATATCTTCATGCACCAGTGAGAGTTTGCAGACTGAGCTGGGGGAGTTATGTTATGGTCATTTTTCAATTCGTAATCGTGGATAAACTTAAATTTTCTTCACTTTTTTTTTTTTACTCAATTCCATGCACACACAATGTTTAAATTACAATGTGCAAAAAAGTAAAAGAAATACCCAGTAACTGTCACAAGGAAAAAACATAAAGGAAATAAAAATTCTTTTGAGTATGAGAGTTAGCACACTGAGGGGAAGGGGGGAGCCGAGAGTTAGCACACTGAGGAAGGGAGCCGAGTGTGGGAGCCCTGTTACTCAGGGTCGGCAGAGGCAGTGTCTCAGTTGGGCTGTGTTGCTATGGTGAGCATTGAGGCCACATGGCTTCTGCTTAGAGGTTTTAGCTGTACTATATTTTATTAATGTTATAATGTTAGGTAGTAGTAAGTTACAGTAGTTGGGTACCACTTTTCACTAATTATGTAGGTCTTGTTGTATGCAAGTCAATAATTGTTTTAGGGGTATAATATTGGGATTTTCTTTGTCTTTGGTAACCAAACCCCATTTTCCCATTTGTTCCATTATTTGATATACTGCATACAAAAATTCACCTCATGAATACTTTTCCAGGAACCTAACCAATTCGTTAAGTGGTCGATACCTGTATTTTGAAAAACAGTTTTCTTTTGGCAGACATACCAATGTCAAAGTTAAGAATAATAATAGAATATAAAAATAGAACCTCTCACACCTTCCATAAAGGAATTCTGAAAAGGGCCAAAATTCATCAAAGATTTTCCAGGAACAAGCATTTTAGGGAAGTGTGTGTTGCTGCTCTGCGAAGCAACAGGATAAAGCAAATAGATATTTGGGGTCTTATTGTAGAAGGGGAGTGCCAGAGCAGATTGCATCTATTACAATAGAATATGAAAGAATAAATGACAAGGGATAAATGTTTCTATGTACTGTATTTGCTCTCAATTTCCAGCCACCTTGCAATACAATAAGAGGCTGGGAGGAGGGGGGAGGTAATATCCTTAACAAGAGTTCAACCTACAGGTCTGGGTCTCAAAGACCCATGCCAAGTAACTCAGCATATTGTTTAAGTAGTGTAACTATTTTGTATACACCTCTTTAGTCCATAGTGCAGTGAAACATAAATGACCAAGACATAAACGCTTACTGCCTTCTGCAATCAAAATCCTTAATAGCCTCCAATATCAGTCAGTAACACACCCATTGCATCATTAATAGCCTCCAATATCAGTCAGTAACACACCCATTGCATCATTAATAGCCTCCAATATCAATCAGTAACGCACCCATTGCATCATTAATAGCCTCCAATATCAGTCAGTAACACACCCATTGCATCATTAATAGCCTCCAATATCAGTCAGTAACACCCATTGCATCATTAGTAAGTCGATATCCTTGATCTTATTTGATTTAGTAGCTTCTCCTGGAACCTCCACATTTCCATATCATTAGGAATGTATCCAAAACACTAGGCTCTTCATAACAGCTGTGTCTGCCCCTACATGTTGGGGTAATTCTTCACAGTCGTACTTACGACTTAGATAAAATTTAAAGTAATTTGCTTCATCTATGATGAGAACTTTACTTCTTCCAAATTTTCCTTCCATATCAAACAATCTATCTTAACTTTTTCTTTTCTTGAAACATTTTCATGGTCAGTGTGCTAGTGAAATTCATCCATCTTCTTTTTACCTCTAGTTGCAATACATACCACTCCCTTATGATGCCACCCTTACTCTGTGAAAGTTCCCTTCATCACCATCATTCCTCACACTTTTCAGTTATAGAATTACCTGTACTTGTACATTCCTAATCACATTTTTCACAAATATAAAACCTAAGCCTCTTTAGACATAGGGCATATACCCACCTTTTATCATATACGGTAACTATTTTTTTCCCTCTCATATCTATGGTCTACTCGGCTAAACTTACTTGAATGTAAGTAACTTAGTCAACAAATTGCTCTTCTGCATACACAGTGTCATATGTACAGTTGTGAACAAAAAGATTTCAACAGGGAGTGTAAGCTGCACCTGCCTCATACTTAAACTAAAAAAAATCAATTTGTGGGGTAGAAAGAAAATTGCAAACTTTTAATGGCTACCTCTATGTGATGGTGCCAAGTCTCCACCTACCCCTACCCTCCCATACACCACATCCCTCCCTTCCTCCCTGACTGCCAAATTATTTTTGTCTCCAACTATACTTCCCCTTGTTCACCCCCCCAAAAAAGAAGAGAAAGATATGTACTCTCCTTCACTGACTTATTCATTTATATGGTACATACTGTACAAGGTCACAAAGGTTAAAAGAAAAATATTTGACTTTCACAGTAGTGGCGTGACCACCCAAGGGGACACACGTACCCATAGGTGCTCTCGTCTTCCCGATCGTCCCACCAAGGTCCCCCTCAGCTGGCCCGTTTTGCCAGCATGGGGGGTCGACATAAACGTCCCAGAAGAGGCTCTCTCATAGACGCAGACGCAGACATCTCTGATACTGATGCCATTACCAACTCGCCTGGTCATAGTGAATCCAACACCCTTCAAGAGTCAGACCCCAGTGATTATGATAGTGACGGTAATGTTTCTATGGGAAACGCTAGCCACAGTGGAAACACCAATGCCATGGACCCTATCACCCTGCCCTCTGCCAAACAAACAAGTAAGCTGAATCTCCACTTCCCCAAGGACTCTCTGAAAACTGTAGAGGAACGCTTTAATTGGATGATGAAGTACTGCAGACAGCATGGTTTCAACATTGAATTCCGACATGGTAAGAACCGGAACTTTATCAAGTGTCAGACTCCTGAGGTCTATGAAACACTTAGTACTGTTGACTTTGACGGGGTCGTCCTGCTGCCCCCCCCTGTAGACGCGGATGAATGTTGCCACATCCTAGTGAAACGTTTCCCCTTATACGCTGACATCGAAGATGCGCGTGACTTTAACTCTAGTATACTGAGTATACGTCGCCATTACCGGGGGAGAGTTCCACAACCCGCTGTCATTGTCAAGTGGAAGGGAAGGGAGTGCCCAACCACTGTGAATGCCCACCCACTCTTACCCCCACTGTATGCAGAAGCCTATCATCCTGAGCCTGCATTTTGTGTTGTCTGTTCTCATTGGGGTCACAACTTCACTGCCTGCTGTCGTCGTGATCGGCCGAGATGTCGCTTCTGTTCACGTAACCACAACTCCGCCGCCTGTGCCCAGAAAATCAAAGACCACCTTAATAGTGGTGGGGTGGGCTATGTAATTAATCCCAGATGTTGTAACTGTGGCGGCCGGCACAATGCTGACTCACGGCAATGCCCCAATCGCCCGTCTGTCCCAGGGGAAAAGCCTCCCCGAAGGCCAAGTCTACCACAACGCCCCCCCCAGTCTTCCGGGCCACACCCCCCTGTGTACCCTGTGTCTCCAGCAATGCCTTCTTCAACAACACCTGCCTCTGCCTGGCCTCATCTGGCTACAACACAGCAGTCCCGGCCGTCTCCTAACTCAACTACTACTGGGCCTCCTCCTCGTCTCTACTCTGAGGCTGTCAGGCCTTGCGCTCCCACCGGTGCCCCCCCACAACCCCCCGCCAGTGACATGACACAGATCATATCCCTCTTCCAAGAATTTACCAACCGTATTGAAAAACTCTTCGCTACACTCTGTACCACCATCTCCCACCTACTCCTGCCCTCTGTTGCCACCCAGTCACTCCTCTCTGCTGGTTTGACACAAGCTGTTGGTCCCCCTGTGAGCCCCCCCTGCTCACGGCCTACTCCACCGCCGGCGGCCTTCACTACTGGTGTAGTGCCTACCGGGCCTGCCCTGGTGTGTCCTGCTGCCCCCGAGCGAAGTCCTGCCCCATCCTCACAACACTTGGTGCCTCAACCTGTCCACCACCCACCGCAAGCCGCGCCCGTGTCTGAGCTGTCTCCACCAGGGCTACCTGGACCTGAGGACACCACCCCCGGCTACCTGTACCCCACCGACATGTCGACGAACACACCTTCACAATCACACTAAAAGGTGTGTCCCTCAATGTTGTCAATGCCTATGTGCCTCCCTCCACCCCTACTGTACCTGCCCCACCACACCATATCACCTCCACCCCCACTGTACTTCGCCACGCCTAGTACATTGGCAACCCTGAGCCTGGCCGCACTGTTTGTAAACTTTGTGGTCAACAGACTCTCACACCCTCTTTCACCACATCCTCATTTGCCCTATGACCTCCCCCTACAGGGGTGGCACCTCTTCCCTCCCTGACCAGATATCCCTCCTCTTAGTGACAGGCCTGGCACTTGACATTATTAGGGACCTGCCACACTTTGCCATAAACAGATAAATTGTACCGGGAATTTTCCCCCCACACACTCATCATTGTCACTTTATGTAACTTGCTGACAAAACCCATGACCCTTCAGGCCTTTTACGCCCTTAATGCGTGAGTCATAAAGGCAAGCATGAACTCCGCATGCTTCCCAGTTGGGCACTGTAAACGCTTCTGCGCTTCACCTTGCACAGGATGTAAGGGGGTGCCCAATAAACTAGTCCCCTCCGGGGTAATCTGTAATCAAGTTAGAAATTCCTTTTTTTTAAAGCTGTAATATCTATAGGCCCTAAAATCAAAATCTGCCATAAATGTTAAACCTGCTTCATAACAATTTTACCTTTCTCAAAATATTTCTTCTCAGAATTTAGAGAAGGAAGTTGAGCTGCACATGTGCCATGCTTTGTCCATTCATGTTTCCAGAGAGATGTGCGAGTTTCACCACCATATATGTTGCCCCAATACTTAATTAAATATGGCTCCATATCTATAATCTGTGCCTCTTCAAAACTCCATGATTTGTTACAATAATTTGGGCCAATGGTTCCAAGTTTGGTGGGCCTGAAATTTATAATTATGTCATTAGTATACAATATGCAGAACTTTCTTTTTTATTCAATTATGGTTTCAGTTATTTGGTTGATAAATCCTTACCTAATTAGAGGAAGTAAACATAGAATTATTATATGTCAAACATACCATCAATTAAATCAGTACTGTACCTGTACATGAGATTCTTATATAATTTACATTGGCAAATCAATTAAAAATGAGGTTTGGTAAAAAAGTTTTCTAGGCAGACAAGGGTATATACATAGCACTTGCCTTTTGTCGTAATAATAACCCTAAGTCCACCCAACGGTTAATGGATATTTAACTTTACAGGGTAGACAGGTAGTCTTTGATTTCCTCAGGGAGTTGTGACATTGCCCTACCAGCTAAGAGGGCACTTGGAAGTCTTACATTTAATACCCGATTTCTATTCTTTAAAACTGGGTTGGTGATGAAAAAGTGAAAGAGGGTCCCATAGGCATGACTGCCCGTTAGGGACAGTATGAATACGCCACACTGTATACTAAGCCTTTCAGTACACAAGGAGGCAGCATGGCCTTCACTTCCCCAAGTTGTAAAAGGCACCCACTTACATGAACTGGGAGCACCCAAGAATCGAACCATTGACCCCCAGAACAGGAGGCGAGTGTTGTATCCACTCGACCGCTATGTTCCGGGTTGGCAACAGGAAGGGCATATAGCCATAAAGCTTGCTTCAAATTTACTTGATGGCAATCAGGACACCATGCTATCAAACAGTTATCATAGGTAAACTACACAAGCCTAGAAAACCTAAAAATGGTGATGATGGTTTTGAGATTAACCAACTCTTAAAATCATTTATTGAATGAATGGCTCCCTAACATTTAAAATTCTATATTGAATGAATGGCTCCCTGACATAAGACATGAATAAATATGTACTGAATTAAAAAAAAAGTTCCAGCTGCATAATTTTCCAGGTCCATTCTTCTTTAAAAGCAAAAAAAAATGGAAGCTTTATTTAAAAATTCAGTCAATGAAGATTTAGAAAACCTTAAAAATCACCTTAAAAATCAATGCACCTGCCATCCATCACAAATGAGAGAAATTTCAATATAATCGTACTCTACTGTTAAATTTGTATTGATTTAAAGAACATCTTGATATGAAAGTATGGAAAATATGAACTTTGCATCTGTAAGTCATGAGCAGCATGTTTATCAGAGTGAACGTTGGACTATATAGACAAAATGCAATTTTGTCTGAGGACCATTTTTCTACTGCTCACTCTGTGACCAATGTAGTTGTGTGTGCACTTTACTATGCAGTTGGGGTGCATGAGGCCTTGTGGGAGCAGATAGAGCAGGGTGTGAGTGGCTATGGGAGGCAGACCAATTGCTTCCTTACTTACTCAAGTACAGTACTCATTGTACATCCATTGTTGCATGTGGCCTACACTACACATACCTCAATTAGTATTTGTAGATTTGCCAATACTGCTGATTAGTGTAATGTGTCTAAGCAACCATCTAGCACATCTCCTAATCTGCCTATTTATCCATTGAAGAAGAAAAAGTGGGCTGCTGTAACATTGGAAATAAAGTTAGACATACTAAGGCAAGCTGAAACAAGTGACAGAGTGTCTGCACTAGGTCATGCATTTGGCCTTGAGGAGAGGGCAACATGCACCTACCAACTCATTCTGCAAAGATAATGATAAAAATAAATTCCTCAGTTGGCAAAAAGAGACACTTGGAATGAAGATTGAGGACCAGACCCAAAAGAAAATACTGTACTGTAGCATATCTTAAGTACAGTGAACCCTCGAAGATCCGGACTAAAAGGGGGGACCACTTGTCCAGAAAAGTCGATTATCCGAATCTTCCGCCGAATGTACTAAATGTATAAAAAACGATAAATGATGATAAAAAAAAAACACCAAAAATACAGTACATATTATCCTGACTACTAGGGTTAGTTATACAGGTAGTCCCTGACTTACGACCGACTCGACTTACGTCCACCCTCACTTATGACCGCCTCAGTCGTACCAATATGTGGTCAAATTATGTATTTTTGAGTCCCAAAGTCAATACACAGACAAAATTTTCATCTGTAATTCACTTTAAAATGGCTGGCAAACTTAAAAGTGAGTGTTTTGTGGTGCTGAAAAGAAAAAGAGACCCAAATTTTCGATTTTCTATGTGTTATTTAAGCATTTCCGGCTTACAACCATTTCGACTTACGGCCTGGATGTCGGTCCCTAACCCCGTCGTAAGTCAGGGAGTACCTTACAGACTTTTTCCTGTGAATGAGCCATAATTTTGAACAACATATTACTGTAATCACTTTTTACTCAAATGTACTACTGTTGTAGTGAATTCCTCCCCTACAAGCGCCGTTTGTCGCTGAGTAGCCGAACCTTCTCGAATTCCCCAGCCTACGCCTCCAGTGCCGCCTATCGGAGCGGGGGTCAGCTTTCTACCCACGCCTACCCCGGCCCTATAAGACCTGACACCGCTGTGACCAGTCTCTTTCTACCCACTGCCACCAGCGAGCAACACCTCCTCCTCCACGCCAGCCTGGCGGCTCCCGCTCCCGCCGGCGACCTTGGCGTCCCTCAAGCTGCGTGTCCTCCTCTGGGCACCCTCACCAACCAGCTCTCTCTACTCAACGCTTGTTACCATGCTGCCTACCCAGCAACAAGCTGCACTGTACATCCAATACAATATGTATACAGTGAGCACATTGTGAGTTTCCTTTCTCCATCCCATCCTGAGTGTGAACACATATCTCATAACCCCACACTGTACACTAAAGGACTAAAATTTATATTTCTTGTGCAAAATATACGATGTCTATATTCAAATTATTCGCTATCTTACAAGGATTCCAGCAATACAAGTTATATTCTGCTAAGTTTAGAATGTGACATTTCATAAGATAAAAACTTTAAGCCTAAAACTACCTTCACCCTGTTTTGGGAATGCTTCTTAGGGAAGCTTCTTAGCCCAGAACCCCCAATTTTTTCCAAATCTTACGAAATCCGGATGTTTGAGGGCTTACTGTACAGTAGTTCCGAATTTCTGTTCACAGTAAATTACTTATTGAAGTACGGTAATTCCTGCATAATGTACCTGTAATTTACATTCTTCATACAATTTTAGGGGGGTTATTTTACTCAACGTATAATATTGTTACTGTATACTATAAATATTTTTTGTCTTTGGGTGAGGGTCAGTGGAGGTCCTGGAATGTATCCCAATTAAATATTTGTAATAAATGATTCTGTAATGTAGAAGTGTTTTATGAAAACTATTTGGTAAAATATCTGCTGCATAAAGTGAGAGCCATGACAAAAGAGAGCATTGAGATGATCATAAAAACCTGTTGAAACTTTACCATATGCCATGAATTGTCCAAGAAGTCATGTTTGGGTAAAGATTGCATGTTGCTTTAGAACTTTGTTCTAAATGACTGATGCAGCTGGTTATTGGCCACTGCTGTGTAAATATTAGCACATCCCATCCAACGATCCATGAAGATCTGAAGAGACAATAATTGTTAACAGTGAGGAGAGAAACATACTGTATATACTACACATATATTTTTGGTATATAGGTCCTGTGTATTATATATATATATATATATATATATATATATATATATATATATATATATATATATATATATATATATATATATATATATATATATATATATATATATATATATATATATATATATATATATATATATATATATATATATATATATATATATATATATATATATATATATATATATATATATATATATTTCATGTAAATCCACAATGAAAACGTGGATAAGATAAATCTTGATAAAATCACATGGGAAAATGGAAACAACGGAGTACCTTAGCTTTCGTCTTTATTCAAGACATCTTCAGAGGCAACTGGATTACATGGACAGAGAGAGGCTTAAATATACAGGGTGACCTTAAAAACAGGAGGTCAGGTCATAATGATGACATCCACTAATCCACACACCAACACACACGTAGAGGAGCTTAAGAGAAGGGTGGTGACGTGAATAACCAGGTCAGGTCAGAAAAAAGGACCCACAAAATAACTATCCTACATCTAGATCAAAGGTTTTCAAAGCATTTTTAACCTTGGGCCACTGACAAATAAATTTATGTAACATATTATCAGTTTTGAACTGACCATCACTAAGGTTTATTGATTTTAATTCCTTAATCAAACTAGCTTCAACCAGAAGTCTTTCTGTGACACAAGATGATTTGAATACTTCTAAGCTTTTTTCCCAGTTGCCTCTGAAGATGTCTTGAATAAAGACGAAAGCTAAGGTACTCCGTTGTTTCCATTTTCCCGTGTGATTTTATCAAGATATATATATATATATATATATATATATATATATATATATATATATATATATATATATATATATATATATATATATATATATATATATATATATATATATATATATATATATATATATATATATATATATATATATGCAAGTAAATCACTGTAGGTGCGCATGATCTAGGTATAGGCAGGTTGTTCGTTAACCAAAAAATTCGTTAACCGAAACCATTGTTTCAATGGGTTTTTGGGTAATTGGTTCCAGCTCACCGAAAATTGCCTAAATTCAACTAAAATGGTAGAAAAGTTCACTTACTTTGAGGTGTGTATGTAGAAGGCTCCTGGACGATGATGATGGGAATTAGAATGGGGGTGGAGGAGAAGGAAGAAGAGAAGGCATTGGGGTGGAAGAGAAGTCACCCCATGGCACCATTTCACCCATAAAATTTTAGTTCACTTGGTGTATTTCAAGATTATTTTCTTTAAATCAACACTGCACTGCATTATATATTGTCAATATGTAAAATATATTTCAAAATGACCAATAATTTGCTTGGAAACACAGAAAAAAAGCATTTAGTTGAAGAGAGTCTCAAGCAAGATGTTACCTCCAATGAAAACAGAGAGAGACTAACGCCTGTTTGCTGTGTTAAGAGGCTGGATGCCGCGCATTAAACTAGTCCCTTTACCTTCAATTATGTTCAATAATTGTTAAAATGACTATAAAATTGAATATTAAACTTTTAAAATCATTGAATAGTATAAACTTCTTGATATTTACTAAAATAGTAAGGAATTTAAGCCCTAGAACCGATTAATGTATTAGCGGACTAATACTAAAGCTGGTTGACCGGCCAGTGCAAGCGAAAACATGTTGAGGTCGGTTCGTAAGAAATTCGTTAACCGAATTTTTGTTCGTTAACCGAATTTATGAATCTTATGGGAGGCAGTTCGTTAACCGAAATTTCGTTAACCGAGGGACCACTGTATATATATATATATATATATATATATATATATATATATATATATATATATATATATATATATATATATATATATATATATATATATATATATATATATACTGTATATATATATATATATATATATATATATATATATATATATATATATATATATATATATATATATATATATATATATATATATATATATATATATATATATATATATATATATATATATATATATATATATATATATATATATATATATATATATATATATATATATATATATATATATATATATATATATTTCATGTAGATCCACAATGAAAACGTGGATAAGATAAATCTTGATAAAAACACACGGGAAAAGGGAAACAACGGAGCACCTTAGCTTTCGTTTTTATTCAATACATCTTCAGAGGCAACTGGATTACATGGACAGAGATAGGCTTAAATATACAGGGTGACCTTATAAAACATGAGGTCAGGTCATAATGATGTCATCCACTAATCCCCACACCAACACACACGTAGAGGAGCTTAAGAGAAGGGGGTGACATGACTAGTCAAGTCAGGTCACAAATAAGGGACCCACTAAATAACTATCCTACATCTAGATCAAAGGTTTTCAAAGCATTTTTAAAACCAGCGGTTAGCATTCCCTGGTCACAGTCATGGGCTCGTGGGCCGTGGGTTCGAATCCTGGCGGGTTGAGGTGTTGATTGTATGTAGAAGTCCGCGTGGAATGTAGGACCGCGTAAAGTGAGGGTTAACTGTATATATATATATATATATATATATATATATATATATATATATATATATATATATATATATATATATATATATATATATATATATATATATATATATATATATATATATATATATATATATATATATATATATATATATATATATATATATATATATATATATATATATATATATATATACAGTTAACCCTCACTTTACGCGGTCCTACATTCCATGTTTACGCGGTGCCCTGCCGGAATCCAGGATGCTCACATTCCGCGGTGCGTGTACCCCTTTACGCGGAGAGCGGCTGGCAAGCCGCGCCATTTTTGGATCCAAACCTCCCGCCATCTGTCCCGCCATCCGCCATGCTGTGTTAGCGGCGCGAGCATAGTGCGCACAAGGTCGCCCAGTAATCAAAACATTACCAGTTCTTCACACGCCACCCACCACAGCCGGCCCAAGTCAGTGATAGTGATAATTATAGTGAGGATATGGACTTATATGGACTTTGGGGGGTTTGACAACGAGGCCCTGCAAGCCTCTGTGGTGGATAGTGATACAGGTGAGGGCCAATAATCTGCCCTCTGCCTCGGAACCAACCGCCCATCCCCGTGTGCCCAGCCATCTTTTCTGCTAATGTAAGTGTTAAAAAACTTAATATTATTGATATTTCTCTTAATTATTAATTGTGTGTGCATACCATTATAAAGTTAAGATAATATTTTTACTACAACATACAGTAGTTGTGTGTCGTCAAAAAGTGGAGTTTGGGGGTCGGCCCGGTCTCTTATTTCAATTAATCCCATATGTTATGTTGTTCACTTTACGCGTTTCTCACTTTCCGCGGTACCCTGCGGGTTATATTAACCGCGTAAAGTGAGACCCAACTGTGTGTGTGTATATACTGTATATATATATATATATCTTGATAAAATCACACATTGTTTTCCTTTTCCCGTGTGATTTTATCAAGATTTATCTTATCCACGTTTTCATTGTGGATCTACATGAAATATAATATACTGTATATATATATATATATATATATATATATATATATATATATATATATATATATATATATATATATATATATATATATATATATATATATATATATATATATATATATATATAAATATATATATATATAAATAATGTACGTTGTGTTGTCAATAGTAAGAGAAATAATTGAGAACCTGCAATTGTGTGTAAATGAGGCAGAAAGTCAGATCAGCAACCTGGGACTTGGTCCAAATTTTCGTGATGCCATATGTTCTTTGACTTTTCCATTTTTTATTCACGGTTTCTGTGCTGGTTCATATTTATTTACTAAAGTGGTTAATGTTTTAAAGTGCACAGCACAATCACTAACGTCGGGACTCGAAAATACGTACAGGGACTCCCCGACTTACGCCCTACTCGACTTATGACCACCCGGACATACAACCGCCGCAGTCGTATAAAATATTTTTCAAATTCCATATTTTCGAGTCCCAATGTTAGTGATAGCGCTGTGTACTGAACATTTTTTTGTTTGTAATTCCCTTTAAAATGGTAAATCATTGTAACTGCGTGTGATCCATGTGTATGCTGATAACCATATAGGAAAAAAAGAAAATGCAAAGTTCCGAAACACTTAGATGACTGAATGACTGATGATAAAGAATAGAGGGATCTGTTTAGGGTGAAAGCTATTTACAGAGAATACATATCACAAGGGTAGGCTTGTGATGTCACGAACAAAACATGACACCAGGTTCTTTTTTAATAGTGCTATATGTGGGCCAAATTACAAGCAACCTATACTTCAGAAAACCCCAAAATATATACTATTTTTTGTTGGGAGTTTATATGGGTACAGTACTACACTGTACAGGTATATCGTATTTAGAATACAGTACCATGAAAGTGTTGAGCCATGGAGGAGAAAATACATGTAAAATAACTTTGCTATCACTATACTGTAGACATGATTCTAGGTCCAAAGTTTATGTTCATTAAAGAACATTGAAATGGGTTATAGCCATGATACCAGTGACTTTAATGCATCAGCTACTGTATGTTCTAATCTACACTTTATCACAGGAAGAATGAAGTTGAAATTTAATTTATCACTTAAATAGTGTTTCAGAATTTTTCAAAGACATTTCCATGACTTTTATAGTATTTTCAATGTCCGGGAACATGCATGCAAACACATGAAAAAAATACTGGTTCCTTGTTGAATATAGAGCAGAAGCACCAACCTGGCATGTACAAGAAGAGCTCGAACCAGCGCTAAAGTTAACACTAACTTCATGGTGGACTGCAGCAAGTAAAGGGCTGGGGAAAGAAGAGGAAAAACAAGATATACCAAGTATTAATTTTATAACAGGTGTCAGAGATCAGTAATATAGCTCAGCTGCAGTGCATAATGATGTTACAGTACTGTACAGCACCTGTATATATCATACTGTATATTTAATGAATTGAGTAAAAGGTTACTGTAATGAGACCAATTAAATAGGTTTGATATGAAAGGTTATCATTTGTTAGTGAAAACAATGAATATCATGTCATAGGTATTATATATAGAGTACTGTATATGCCCTTGTGAAGATAATGACTGAAAAAAGGGATAAAAGAGAACAATTCACTCTCATTTATCTCATGTTTCCCTCATAAGCTTGTTTAAATAATAATAAACAAATAGATACTAACCAATTTGAAATAGAGTTATAAGGAAATATTTTTTTATTCCCTGGTAGTTATACAGTATCATGTCTTCAGTTATCAATATTACTGTACAGTCCTGTACTGTATAAGCTAAATCCCAAGATAAATTATTTATACAGTATAAGATTGAACTGTATAAATTAAATGTTTTACAGGAATTTAACATTAAAAGTGTTAATATATAAACTAATGTTAATTCTTAAAAATCTAGTACTGTATACAGAATGAGATGCAGCATGTTGAACTAGCAACTGCACTTGTGTCAACGAATGGCAGTAAACAAATACATTCTGTATTGTTTTGCATACCTATTAATAAATATTATCTATTTTTCCCACACTGTTTACATTGGAACAGATACACTTGTGTCAGGACAGTAGTATATCAAAGATTATTGCCATAACAAAGCAAACTAAAAACTTCTTTATTTTTATTGAAGATATTTATTAGGCATAGACTCTCTTACATTACCAGTAACACATCAACATATAACTGATAGCTTTGTACATAAATACAGAAACATCCCAGGAAGAGTGAAATTATAAGTTACTGTACTGTATTGGCTATGTTACTCTCAATTGAAAGGTGGATATTTTAGTAATTTTTAAAATGGTTTATTAAAACAAAAACACCAACTGATGTATAAATACTAAATAAAAAGACCCAGCAAGGAAAATGAGTCCCCCTTACTGGACAATGAGATGGAACATGATAATAAAGAAAATAAATTTGTAATTACATTTATTATATCAAACTTGTACTTATATTGATACACTTAAATTTTAGCAAATTCGATAATATACATCCTTCCCCCCTGATTAGGAAAGACATTACAATAACTAGTGACACACAGAGGATTACAAAGTAACATCCACTGTAATTACAGTAATGTTTCCAGTATACTGTTTCAGTACAGTATTGTAATGTAATCATTTGGTATTTATTTACACCTGTTGCATTCATGAACCAGCAACTGGAAGGCATTTAACAATAGAAGAAGCAGTGATATAACAAAGGTAGGTACTTAAATTATATTAGCCAACCAGGAACGAACTCGTAGCAATGGTTTTAAATTAGACAAATTTAGATTTAGGCGCAAGATAATTAAACACTGGTTTGGAAATAGAGTTGTGGATGAGAGGAACAAGTTATCAAACATCATTAACTCGAATACGCTGTGTCGCTTCAAACATAGGTTGGACGGACATATGAGCGATAGAGGTTGGGCGTAAATGGGACTGCCCAATATGGGCCAATAGACCTGCTGCAGTTTCCTCCATTCTTATGTTCTTAACTGCTTTTTTACCTCATGAAAAGGCCATAAATGGTATAAAGAATTTTTGGTTAATATTCGTTTAATGGCTGCGGCAAGATTTTCGTATTTGGTAGGCTAGGTTAGGTTAGGTGATTCGGAAGTTGAAATTGTTAAGAGAATAGATTTTTTTGTGTATTCTCATCACAAAAAGGGAGCCACAGCCATTAAACGAATATTTGCTTCTTTTTTTGGCTTCATATCCTTTTTACAATTTTTTCCATCCTGAGGCCATGGCTGTGACATTTGAGCTTTATTCACCATGTTTGTTTGATCCATAGGGATGTTTCCTGAATTATTATTATTTTTTAACAATAATAGAAGATAACTAGTATATCAGGTTAGGTAGGTTAAGTTTGGTTTGTTTTATACAGTATATGGTACAGTACTGCACAGTATATGATAAATTACCTGGTACAGTATCATAAAATTATTTTACACAAAATGATTTCCTGGTACAATTTTGGACTTTTTATGAGATAAGAAAACTTTTATCTTCTATGATGAAATATCTTCAAGTTGCTGGCTCTATTGTGAAACAAGTGTACACAATTATCAAACATTTACGGTATACAGTCCAGTACAGTATTTTACTTTACTTTTTCCTCATTCTATCTAAACCCAAATCTAACCTGCTTAAGTATTTTGACTATGGGAAGATAACAACATTAAATGGTAATACTGTACTGGAACAGAGAGCTAACACCAGAAGGAGTTGTTTGATTTTGTAATTGTTTCCACAGATGTTCTTTGGATGATAGCAAGTAATAAAAATGATAAGACAACTTATTTTAATTATAAGTATAAGAGCTGTAACAGCACTTTTGCTTTATTTAAATACACCCAAATGAATAACCCCAAGTTATTCACAAAGTGACTCACTATGTTATTCACGACTATATCACTTGGCATGAATCTTTCTCAAAGGGTTAAGCCAGAGTCAGCTGATTTAGCAAAGACCCAGGAAAATGTTCTGTAAAATAGAATAAAAAATTTAAAATTAGCTGGATAACCGAAACGATAATTTTACCTTATTTGGTTTGTTAGGTCAGGTTCTATTAGGCTCTAGTAAATGTAGGGGTTAGTATTTAATAGTTGCCACCACCTAACTGAATATTGAGTAATATATGGGGAGATAGAGAAAAAAAATATTCTATAATGTTCTGTCAGAAATACTGTATATAGTTTTGAATTATTTAAACTTTTATTTTACAATATATGACCAATCAGCTTGAGTGTTGATGTCTTGTCATAGTAGTGCACGCCAATCAGCATGCGTGCCGATCTGATGTAATACTGTACTCGTGCGCTAATCAGCACAAGTCTCTATTTGCGGGCAGTTGGAAGATGGCATCTGTGTGAGAACGATGTACATTGGTTGGTTGGCGCATTATTCAGCACCCGTTGACATTTTTAGGGCTTACGGTGTTCTTGTTTCATCTGTAAAATGTCCGAGATGTACGTAATTCAAAGTGACGGTACCTTGTAAATCGCCAAGCATGGTACTGTAGTAAGAGACGGACACTGACGAAGACACCACTTCCTCATTCAAGTCACATTACTTCATCCTCCTGTAAGTTTCTTACACACTAGGGGTTAGGGTTGGGTTAGGTTAGGTTAGGTAGGTAGGTTAGCATATCCCTGAGATATGCTAGGGACTGTCAGATGATTTAAAAATGTCCAAAGGAGGGCCACCAAACTGGTGCTTGCACTACGGCACCTCAGCTACCCTGAGATATTAAAGTGCCTGCAATTGCCTAGCTTATACTACAGACAGACAAAGGGGGACCTAATTGAGGTGTATTAACATCTCAAAGGGCACTTCTCAGTCGAGTGTCCAAATCTGGATCTGGCAGACGCTTGCCCCACAAGGGGACACAGCTCAAGGTTAAGCAAGCTGCAAATCCAGAAAACTGTGAGGGGTAACTTTTTCGGAGTGGGAGTAGTGAACTCTTGGAACAATCTGCCAACGTGTTGTGACGGCACCGAGTGTGAGCTCTTTCAAGACCAAACTTGACAAGCACTGGAGCAGGTTCAGACACATTCAGGAGCTAGTACATGCCCCCTACTTGCCAACAGTGCGTAACAGAGGCATGACTGATCGCCAAAGCGGCCAACAAGCTGATCAGTGGTGAAGAGGATAAAAGGAAAAAAAAAAGTTAGGTAGGTTGGGTTAATTTTTTTTAGTTTCGAGGATTTTATGTTGTTTGACCTTCCACTTTTTTCAATATCTCAACTACAGCTCATTTCTAATGGTAGTGGAGGTCATATTTGTATTTAACATGATGATTTACACTATAAAAACCCATTTTCAAAAGTAAATTAGGTGGTGGTAACTATTAAATATTTAGTATTATTGCGTTTACACACCGTTCATTCCTACCACTAATCTATTATCATATTCGAATAAGACGTCTAATTATAAGATAATTTTCATCTATTACATTACCGGTGGAAATGTATAATAACGGAGATAGCATATCCAAAATTTTCTCTATTTTCTTCCACTAATCTTCCTCCATTATCGCCTGCCTCACCTCCAACACTGTGTGTCTCCTTCATAAATCATCACGTGCATGCGTTTCCATACACGTCACGCAGTCAATGAAAAGCGTTTTTGCTTTTGGAACCAATTAAAATGATTTTGGGTTTAATTTGCAGTATATTTGGCCCAATCAAATTCGAGTTTTATTTTGGGTCTCTCATATTTTGAAATTCAAGTTCAGTTCCGACCAAGGAAGTCTGCGATGGGTGTCACTTTAAAGTATATGGAGCCAATTGTGAGTTTGTGGAAAAAAAAAACGTAGAAACTATAGTATTTTTTCGATCGCATGGTGTTCTTCCAACCTCAGTAAAGTGTACAAAGAGCAAGACTGAATGTAAATATCGCAAAGACCAACATATGTGGCGTTGGGTAAGAATCCCAGAATGCAACGACGAACAAGACCCAGGCCAATAAGGTAAGAAATAGGTGATTCCATCATATGGTGAGAGTCAGTTATGTTAGGAGGGGTTAGGTTAGGTTTGGTTTTTGTTTTTCTAGTGTTTTTTGGTGTATTTTGCCATGATTTTTTTTCGGAAAATGTCCAATGAAAAAAATTTCTAAAAAAAAAACGGCTAATTTTCGCCAGAAATGAAGGTCATATTCGGTCTAAACACACACACACAAATGGTCCGACTAATTACCCAAATGTAGCTGCAATGAAGTCAAATAATGGGCCTACATGAATAAATTGGACTGCCAATCACTTCTCGACTAGTATTTGGTGTCACAAAGTCACAAAAAATTGGAAAACTTACTTTAATCTGAGTTGATAGATCGCGTGCATGTACCGAAGGAGAGAGTAATTACCCAAATGTAGTCAAATGATGGTCCTACAAGCGTAAATCGGGCTGTGAATCACTTCTCGATTATTATTTGGTGTCATAAAGTCACAGAAAATTGGTAAACTTAATTTAATCTGAGGTGTGTTAGGTTAGGTTAGGTTAGGTACATGCACTCGATCTATTAACTCAGATTAAATTAAGTTTACCAATTTTTTGTGACTTCGTGCCACCAAATGCCAGTCGAGAAGTGATTGGCAGTCCGATTTATTCTTGTAGGACCATCATTTGACTTCATTGCGGCTACATTTGGGTAATTAGCTGGACCCCCACACAAATACACTAGCAAAATATATTTTTGACTTTCTAACGAAACGGTGTGACAATGCAAATTTACCAAATACTTACTAGTGTATAATGATAAGAACATATGTGGAAAAAATAAATGAAATCGAAAAACTCCTACAAGTGGCAATGTTGTTCTTAGACATTAATCACTCTTTAACCTTTACTGAAAATTAGTTACGACTACTACGTATAAGAGTTGTTGTTTATGATGAACAAATTTTGAGTTTAATAATCCATGTTTTCATAAGATTCGCAATGTTAAGAGCTTCAAAAGTAAAATATCAATTATTTTGCAACAACATACAGTACACCTTATAGTGATGACAACATAAATGAATTCTCGCTCAACAAAGGAGCTAAACTGGATATTCTCGGAATGGATTATTTTGTTCGTTCATAAGAAGTATTTAGTTTTGTCATCCTATTAACGTTTATTTATGCTTGCTGTTTATATCCTTCATTAGTGTTTAGTACAGTGCTACTCACCACCTGCAGACTGTACTGTAGTCCCAGGAAATAGGTTACTTGTCAAAACAACGGAGGTTTATCAACACGTCCCGTATACTTCTCAGGATGAAGGGCGAATACTTTACAACAAACTTTCACTGGTCAACGGTGGACGGGGAAAAGATTTTAAGTAATAGGATTATGCTAAGAGAGTGCTTAAAAAATTGTTTCATTGACTTATTTAATATTTTTACCCATGAACTATGTTTTGCAGGTAGTCTGGAATCTATTAGAGAAACAAATGGGATTGTATAAGAATATTTTTATCTGGACAAAGGCTCATACTGTATATCCGATCTTTAATTTGAAGCAACTTGTATTTTTTGCTTCTCATTTTATCAACATACTTGGTCATTTTACATTTAATGTCGCCCTCATCAACATTCATCGAGTGGAAACTTTCTTAAGTACAAAATTGTTACATTTTATAATTTATCGTTCATAAAATGAACCAAACACACCTACCTAATCAACCTAAACCTGAGCTTCACCTAAAATTGATACATAACTTACGCTAAATTAGGTTAGGTAGGTTAGTTTGGCTTACCAATACAATACTGCGTATCAGAGACGTAACCGACCGCCCAAGCGGCTAACTTGCCGATCAATGGCAAAGAGGATAAAAGTAATATCAAAAGGGGGAGGGTCCAAGAAGTTTTGGGTGGGGGAATAATGGCAAGCAAAGCGAGCCTACCTAGCTGGGGGGCTTGGGGGGGAGGCGCTTTATAAGTCCCCCAGATTTTATTTAAATTTTTTAAAGGGCATGGGCATTTGAGGCCATTTTGAAGCCATGTGCACTTGATATTGAGAGATAGTCTGAAGTCAATATTAGTTGCTTTTTACTATGCAAAAAGGCCTGAGTACAATAATGTATTAAAGAAAAAGAAATGGAATTTTCTGATGAAAAAGGGGGGTCCGGACCCCCAGGACTTCCCTCCCCCCTCACTCTGGATCCGCCCTTGAAAAGATACATTAGTTGATTCTCTTCGTCGCTGATCGACCTGTTAGTCGCTTGGGCGGTCGGTCACGTCTCTGTTACGCAATCTTGGCAAGTACCGGTGGTGATCGATGCATTGAATTGAATTGAAACAGTTTATTTCGCCAGAAAAACACAGATGCAGAGTGGATAATAATAACAATATTAACATGGCTCAGCCAGTTGAGAACCTGAGCTCTCTTTTAGGCACCTGATATATACTATACATTTATCTCAAGGAAGTATTTTGTAACATTTAGTATCATCTGGAATAGTACAATAGCATGGTGGTAATTAGAACATTTCATAATGTTATCACACCTGATCACAAATCTTCTTAATTCCAAAATTGTCCAGCTTGTACATGCCGTTACTCAAATTCTTATTAAACTCTTATTAAACATACCGAAGCATTCAACATGAATTTGAGTAACGGCATGTACAAGCTGGACAATTTTGTAATTAAGAAGATTTGTGATCAGGTGAGAAGGCCGGGTCACTTGACCATCTGACCTGACCACCAACCGTTGTGTGCTATTTAAAGATTAGTAGGGTCATTACCTAATACCTGACCATTGTGGACCTGGTCTCACCCTCCTCTGTACTGGGCATGCACCGGCTCCTGAGTGTACCTGAACCTGCTCCAGAGTTGGTCAAGCCTGGTCTTGAAAGAGCTCACACTCGGTGCCGTCACAACACTTTCTGGTAGATTGTTCCAAGAGTTCACAACTCTCACTCCGAAAACAATTTGCCCTTACAGTTTTTTGGACCTGCGGCTTCTTCAATCTTGAGCTGTGACCCCTTGTGGGGCGAGCGTCCGCCAGCTCCAAGTAAGGACACTCGACTGAGTAGTGCCCCTTGAGATGCTTATGCACCTCAATTAGGTCGCCCCTTGCCCGTCTGTAGTATGAGCTAGGCAAGTTAAGGTGCTCCAATCTCTCAGGGTAGTTGAGATGCCGAAGTGCAGGCACCAGTCTGGTGGCCCTCCTTTGAACATTACTCCAGATGGGGAAGCACTTCACTCTTGAAGATCGTTACGAGGGATATCTGAACGACCTTCTTTGAAGACTTTTATATTTTATGAATATACTTATTTGCTGCGTCTCTACATCGCACATTTTCTTGTCACTTAACCTGAACCTTCATCAATAGTCGTGATTTAAATAGCTCAATACTTGCATGACAGCATTACCTTAATCACCACCGTCTCCATGTTGTTCACCCGGACGAGAAAGGTGTGTGCGTGTCAAGATTAATCATAACAATGCTTGTTTGACTGTGTATGTGTTTGAATTATGATGAATCAGGTTGTCGGCTTATTAGTATTCGAGAAAAGATTGAGAACACAGTGGAGATAATTAAATGATGTGAAGAACTCTTGCGAGCATGTTTCTGTTTGTAGCAGCGCATACAACATTGTGTGTTTGGATTGTAGGTGTTTTGTTGTATTTTTATCAAGTCACAGATCTACAAATGCACGTATGCAGAGGGATAGGAAGATACAAGCGATCACACACATACATACACAAACACAGTGAGTATGCGGGAGGGCGGTACACATGCCAGGCACGCTAGCTGACACCATACCTCCCGCGACAGCCGAGCTGGGGTATTGTTGGTGTAAGGATACTGGGGTAATTGTCTGAGTGAGGATACTATCTCCAGTATGATAACTCTATCGGCTTGTGTAAGGGACCCTTGTACTGCACCCTAGCTGGTGCTGCACTACTACACTAAATACATGGAGTAAGAGCTGCGGGGATTTTACCAAGGGGCGACAGTCAGGGGAGGCTCCAGTTACCCCAGTCGACTGTGTCATCTCGCGCCGGTGCCATCTAAACGTCCAGCACCCAAATGAAAATATTTGTAGTGAAACAACGAAATTATACTTGCTTCGTGTTTTGAAAAAAAAATAATCTAAGAAAGGAAAAGCATAAATACGTTGCAATGTGATATTAATAACTGAGCGACGAAGTGGGGGATAAAGTAAATAACAATATTCAACAAAGGATTCCTAGTGAAAGACTACAGTTACGATATTCGCTGTGGATAAACAAGAAGCGTTAAGTTTCTCCTACAAATATGTTGGTTAAATGGTTAACGTGGATGGCGACACTGGTACTAGTGATGAGCGGGCGGCACAGTGCTGGCCTAGTCTCAGGTGGGTACTGGAGTGTTTCTGTGGTACTGGAAGTCATAGTGGGTCTAAACCGGTGTTACAGACATGTAAGTAAGGTGTGTAACATTGATTTCTGAGTGACTTGGGATTGCGTGAATATTGTCTGGTCTTTTTTAAAATTGACCAGTAAGATTAGCAGTTATTTTACAAAATTGCCAATATTCGTGTCTGTTTGCTAAATGGCCGAATATTTAGGGTCATTTTCCAAAACAACCAGGTTTTTTGGCCTGTTTGCAAAATTACCGATCCTTTTGCAAAATAACCTGGTTCGCAAAAAACGTAACACGCACACTCATATATATATATATATATATATATATATATATATATATATATATATATATATATATATATATATATATATATATATATATATATATATATAATATATATATATACAGTTTATGGATTGATCCCAAATTTGTAGATACGTCTCAGAAAGTCAATAAAAGTAAATATCACAAAGTTCAATAATCTAATAACAATTGAAAATTATTACTAATTTTAACAAGTATTTTAAAAAGATAATTTCACTTACGACTCACTCAATTGGAATTCATCGTTTAAATCCACGGTTATGCAACGCCACCTCACAGGCAATCTCAGTAACAATGTAGCTAGGCAAGCAGCAATAATTTGGACACCTTTGTATACAGTACACACACACACACACACACACACCCACTCTTACGACACCCTCTCCAGTTGCATCGTACAGGGTATTACACCGTAAAGAAGCAAAAGGTAATTGGAATTCGGTCATTTCTGATATAAAACTTGTAGAATTGTGTACAGTATAGGGAAATTTACTGAGGAAATCTTCCCCAGTGGTATTTTGTCGGGATGTGTCTGTAGCTTTCCCGTCTTAAGGGCTGGTGAACCACTAACTTGCCTTACCTCCCACAGCTACCACAGACCTGGATGTCATGGAGGAAGTGAGTCACGCCCTTCACCACGTCGCCGAGTCCCTTGCTGACCTCACCTCCCTCATTATCTCCATTACCTCCTCCTTCACCACCACCACTACCTCCTCCTCCACCACCACCACCACTACCTCCTCCTCCTCCACCACCACCACTACCTCCTCCTCCTCCTCCACCACCACCACTACCTCCTTCTCCTCTTTCACTACACTCAAACCTACAGCAAACACCACTAACATTACATTATCAGCCATCTCACCTACACCAACCACTATCATAATGTTAACCACCACAAGCACGCCAATCACCGCCACTATCGTAACCACACCAGCCAGTCCTTCTATATCAATTACCACACCAACCACCCCCACCACCCCCACCACTATACCAAACACCACCACTACACCAAACACCACCACTACACCAACTCCTAATATTACACCAACCACGACCACTACCACCCCCACCACTACACCAACCGCACCACTACACCAACCACCACCACCACTACACCAACCACCACCACCACTACACCAACCACTACCACCACTAAACCAACCACCACCATTTCGCCACCACCACCACTACACCAACCACCAACCACCACCACCCCACCACTACCACTACCACCACCTCTACACCAACCACCACTACAACACCAACCACCGCCACCATTACACCAACCAACACCACTACACCAACCACCACCACTACCTCAACCACCACCACCACTACCCCCACCACTACCAACGACCACTACAACACCAACCACCACCACTACACCAACCACCACTATTGCACCAACCACCACCACTACACCAATCCCCACCTCTACACCAACCACCACCACAACACCACCAGCACTACACCAACCATCACCACTACACCAACCACCACCACTACCTCAACCACCACCACCACACCAACCACCACTACCCCAACCTCTACACCAACCAGCCCCACCACTACACTAACCACCACCACTACACCAACCACCACCACTACACCAACCACCACCAATACACCAAACACCACCACTACACTAACCACCACCACCACACCAACCACCACCACTACACCACCACCACCACTACACCAAACACCACCACTACACCAACAACCACCACCACTTCACCAACTACCACCACTACACCAACCACCACCACTACACCAAGCACCACCACTACACCACACCAAGCACCACCACACCAAGCACCACCACTACACCAACCACCCACTCACCACCACTACACCAACAACCACCACCACTACCAAGCACCACCACTACCACCAACCACCACCACTACACCAACCACCACCACTACACCACTACACCACCACCACAACAACACCAAGCACCACCACCAACCACCACCATTACCACCAACACCACTACACCAACAACCACCACTACACCAAGCACCACCACTACACCAACAACCACCACTACACAAGTACCACCACTACACCAACCACCACAACCACCCAACCACCACCACTACACTAAGCACCACCACTACACGAAGCACCACCACTACAACAACAATCACCACTACACCAAGCACCACCACTACCAACAACCACCACTACACCAAGCACCACCACTACACCAAGCACCACCACTACACCAAGCACCACCACAACACTAAGCACCACCACTACACCAAGCACCACCACTACACCAAGCACCACCACTACACCAACAACCACCACTACACCAAGCACCACCACTACACCAAGCACCACCACAACACTAAACACCTTCACTACCAACCACCACCACAACACTAAGCACCACCACTACACCAAACACCACCACTACACCACACCACCACAACACCACACCACCACTACCACCAAGCACCACCACTACACCAACAACCACCCACCACTACACCAAACACCACCACTACACCAAGCACCACCACAACACTAAGCACCACCACTACACCAAGCACCACCACAACACTAAACACCACCACTACACCAAGCACCACCACAACACTAAGCACCACTACACCAAACACCACCACTACACCAACAACCACCACCACTACACCAAACACCAACACTACACCAAGCACCACCACAACACTAAACACCACCACTACACCAAGCACCACCACTACACCAACAACCACCACCACTACACCAAACACCACCACTACACCAAGCACCACCACAACACTAAGCACCACCACTACACCAAGCACCACCACTACACCAACAACCACCACCACTACACCAACACCACCACACCTAAGCACCACCACTACACTAAACACCACCACCACCACACCAAGCACCACCACAACACTAAGCATTACCACTACAACCACCACGACTACACCAACAACCACCACCACTACACCAAACACCACCACTACACCAAGCACCACCACCACTACACCACCAAGCACCACCACTACACAAGCACCACCACACCACTAAGCATTACCACTACACTAACCACCACGACTACACCAACAACCACCACCACTACACCAAACACCACCACTACACCAAGCACCACCACACTAAAGCACCACCACTACACCAACCACCACCACTACACCAAACACCACCACTACACTTAACACCACCACTACACTTAGCACCACCACTACACGAAACACCACCACTACACCAAACACCACCACTATACCAAGCACCACCACTACACCAACTACCACTACTACACCTACCACTACTACACGAAACACCACCACTACTATCACCACCACACCAATCTCCACCACTACAGCACCAAGCACCACTATGGCACCAACCACCATTATGGGACCAACCACCAACACGACACCAACCACCACCACAACACCAACTTCCACTACTACACCAACCACCACCACTACCCTAACCACCACCTCTATACCAACCACCACCACGACAGCCACCACCACTACTGACGCACTTCCAACAGCCGATACTGACGATGATGAAACTGCACAATATAAAGCTGGTGTGAAGCCATCAAGGAGTGGAATACGACAAAAGAGACACGGGTTATACCTCGATAATATCCTTACCCAAGTTGTTGAGTCCGTGGAGACCTCGGAGAACATCACGGCCTCGCGGGAAAGTGAAGTCTTGAAGGAGAGTGGTGTTTCAAGAGCCACGGAGGTCTCTGGAGAAATTGGGACCACTGGAGTTACGGAGACTCCACAGCCTTCACACGGACATGGGACCTCCAACATTTCATCAAGCAACACTTGGTGGGGTCAGGTGAACGCCTCGGTGGCCAGACTAAGAGATCTGGTGGAGGAGGTAGCAAGAGGCTCCGTGGACCACCAGCATGCCTCCCGCCTGGAGGAAGAGGCGGATACTATAGACGGTCTGGTGGTAGAGGGCAGGAATGATCCCCAACTGGTCCTGCAGGTTTCTGGTGACCATATGATCCATGTGATGGGCAGTATTAATGCCGTTAGCGAGGGAGTAAACAACACCACCGAGATTGTTAACAACGATATTGATCTCATAAAGGTATTTTAATAACATATATATATATATATATATATATATATATATATATATATATATATATATATATATATATATATATATATATATATATATATATATATATAGTATATATATATATATATATATATATATATATATATATGTATATATATATATATATATATATATATATATATATATATATATATGTATATATATATATATATATATATATATATATATATATATATATATATATATATATATATATATATATATATATATATATATATATATATATATATATATATATATATATATATATATATATATATATATATATATATATATATATCATGTAGATCCACAATGAAAACGTGGATAAGATAAATCTTGATGAAGGATCTTAGCTTTCGTCTTGAATAAAGACGAAAGCTAAGGTGCGTTGTTTCTTTTCCCGTGTGATTTTATCAAGATATATATATATATATATATATATATATATATATATATATATATATATATATATATATATATATATATATATATATATATATATATATATATATGCCCCCTATATTTATATACGAGTATACACCTCAATCCAGGAGAGGTATCACGCTCTGTTTATATAATATTTTGTGTTTTTCTTGTTCTCACTTACATCTCTTCCTCTGAAGATGTGAATACCAGAGATTGCTCGCATTAATTTTTCTTGTGGTTATCTGTGGTGTGTTCTTCAGAGCTGGCGGGTGAGCGTGGTGGTGGGTAGCAGTGTGGTGGCGGCACTGGTGGTGTTTGTGGTGGCAGGCCTCCTCTTCGCTTCCTCTCGCTGCTTTCACTCTAATGTGCTCTACATCAACCACAAAAAGTAAGTATACTGATTTCCATGTTGGTCTAGTTTTCTGGAAGGTCTCAGGGAATTTTATAGAGACGTCCAAGGCAGGAAATTCATAGATGTTTAAGGACTTTAAGGTAGGAACTTCATAGACATTTGAGGCAGAAATTTTATGAAGATGTCTAAGACAGAGTTAAGAGAGGTGCTTAAGGGAGGAGCTTAACATTAGGTGAACTAACGTAAACTATAACCTGAGACGAATATGCTTTATGAAAAAAATATATGGTAAAATAATCTGGAGTGGGGATTCTTCATGTGATCCAAAAATATATATATCGTGATCTGTGTTTTGAACACAGGAGGATGGTTTAACCCTTTCATGACGGTATCTTTAATTATATATATTTTCAGAAGCAGAAAGAAGTATCAAATAGTCGATCAGTAGTGTAAGGGTCAGGAAGTAGGGTATGAGTTATACCCAATATGAGTTATGCACAATATGGGTGTATAAATTTCAGTAACCCATATTGTGTGTTCATTCCATTGAAAAAGTTTTGTGACGAAACGTCAGGAATAATGCTCCATCTCTTAGTCGTGTTTCCTTCACTACCAAGCTACCATTTGTCTACTATGAACAATGTTCAACTTCATTTGATTAATATAATGGGAACGTAAAATATATAGACGTAAACATATATTTTTGGAGGATTAAAAAAGTGAGGTCTGAAATGAGGTGCATATTATAACAGGAACAGAGAGGGTGAAGGTAATGTGAATGCTTTACGTGTCTGTGTTGCAGGCGGCGTCGCAGGAGCCTCACCCATGTCTATCTTGATGACCACCACTCCTGCATCACCAATGCATCATACATCAGCTACTCCGAGGTAGACGCTCAGGTCAGGGAAATGAATATCCTGGGTAGGGAGATGAATGCCCAGAGCAAGGAGATGAACAATCTTGGGAGAGAGATGAACATCCAGGGCATGGAAATGAACGTCCAGGGCAAGGAGATGAACGTCGGGGGCAAGGAGATGAACGTCCGGGGCAAGGAGATGAACGACCAGGGCAAGGAGATGGACCTCCAGGGCAAGAAGATGAACGTTCAGGGCAAGGAGATGAACGACCATGGCAAGGAGATGGACCTTCAGGACAAGGTGATGAACGTTCATGGCAAGGAGATGAATGTCCAGGGCAAGGAGATGAACGACCAGGGCAAGGAGATGAACGTCCAGGGCAAGGAGATGAACGTCCAGGGCAAGGATATGAACGTTCAGGGCAAGGAGATGAACGTCCAGGGCAAGGAGATGAACGTCCAGGGCAGGGAAATGAATGTCCAGGGGAGAGAGATGAATAGCGGCAGCGTCCACCTAACTCTAACCACCTTCAATAAGGAGGAGGAAGAAGCATGAGTCCTTGCCTGCTCCGGGAGGCCATCACCACTGGACGCTGTCTCCTCTTCAACTATTTTCTCACTTAAACAGCTCACACATTGTTTTCTCCTTATTATTTCAACAAGATAATCAACTTAACCTCCAATAAAAGTCATTATATATATATTTATATTATTTTTCTTACAAAATTTTTATTAAAGTGAGTTATTGTGTTCCTGGTTGCGCGTTGAAGGGAGCAGCTTGGACAAAGGAAGAACCTTATAAGGCATGTGAGATGATTACGTGACTGTAATGTACCGAAATCAGATTACCTTGTAGCCTACTTTATTATAACATTTTAGTTCAAATTGGTCCAGGCTACAGTAAAACCAAAACAATTATCAAATTTGTATTGTGTAAAGTTAAGATCAAACAAACCATATAAATACACATATCAATTTAACTCAATTAAGTATAATGGACAATCCACTAGTAATTAAGAAATACTGACACAGAAGCAACACATGCCAAGATACAAATGTGTCACGTCTTGAATTTCTTAGAACAGGGACCAGTGATGTTACAGTAAATACAACTAAAAAGTGGTTATTGTGGTGAGTCAAATAAACAATGGTAGTAATCTACATAAACACACCAATGAATATATGTCTGACTCCCAATAAAATAATCACGTCTCTCTTTGCAGTTGGATAGAGCCGTGTGCTAACATGTAATTGTATGATATAATACGTGAAACTGTGTACAGTACTCTGTAATGTACGTATTATAATTTGTACTCTCGCTCCAAAACGTATCTTTACGAGTTTGTGTGAGATATTATTACACAACCAAGAGCGGGGGTCATGGGGGGTCCGGACTCCCCCTTTTCATCAGAAAATTCCAATAAAAATTCTTTAATGCAGTATTGTTCTCAGGCATTTTTGTTTAGCAAAATTTAATACCTATTGACCTCAGCATATCTTCTAATATCGGGTGCACACTGCTTCAAAATGACCCCAAAATGACCATGATATTGGTCAGTTTAAAAAAAAAAGGGGGGGGGGTACAGCACCCGCCCGAACCCCCCAGCTGGATGGGCTCGCTGTGATTGCCATGTTCCCCCCACCCACAACTTCTTGGACCCCCCCCTTTTGATATTCCTGGATCAGTCCTTACCGAAAAACAAAAAAATAAAAACAGGAGTCGTGTTCATTTTGAAATTCATCGGATTCCCCACCACGAATTTAGTGAGTGTAACATAATTTGGCATATACAGAGCTGAATTTAGCCTCTTGTTTTATCTTACATAAAACATACAGTAGCTATGAAGCATCTGCAATTTATAAAACATTTAGCAGTTATGAAGTAATTAAATTTGACCCTTCGTTAAATGCCTGTGTGTTACTTATGAGGATGAATCATGCTCTCAACTACACAAGCAGTAGGCTACAGTACCTATTAAAAATAAACAAAACTAGGGTTAACATGATTCCTTAACGTCTTATTACACGTCTCCTTAAGTCATACTACACGTCTCCTGAACGCCATATTCTTCACGTCTAAATTTAAGAAATAAATTTGGTTCTCAAATTAAATTTTATATTTTGTCGATTAGAAAGGATGAAAACAAATATACTGTATATTAAAAATCGGAAAAAACTGCAGCAGCAATATGGTAAAAATGTGGAAAAATATCGGATGATAACCATTAGTGTTGTGAGCATGGCTCGCCTGGTGGGGTAAACTGTACTGCACACTGTACACAGCTGGGCTCACTCAACCTCCCTTCGTAAATATTCAACACAGCAACTCCACATACAGCTTTGTTTACTATTTCACTAACTCCTCAAATATTTCATTTTGATACGTGTGTGAGAATGGTTGGTGTGGGTTTGTTTCTAGGGCTGCACGACAATAAAATGCAGAACAACAGTACCACTTTTTATCACTGGAGTTGTTTCATCAACTGGCTCCCTAGCATTTCTTAGACGGCCTCTTGTGAGCTCGTGAAGCAAACAAAGATCCACTTTTCTCTTGTCACTGGTAGTATATTTTGTCAATCAGTGGAGCCTTAATATATTTTATAAGAAAAGATGAATGCCATTTCTTCTAGAAGAGCTCCATTAAGATTAAGCTAGAGACAAACTTAGTAATTTACACACTCTATTTTTCCCAGAGTTTTACCCATGATCTGACTTTTGTTCATAATGTTTCATCTGCTGGCTCTCCCCAGATGTTTTCTGTCCTGATTGTACTCAACGTTCCTTGACACCAAACTTGACACACTCACTCATTCATAGTGTGGTGAAATACAAGCATGTCGCACACACACACACACACACTGCGAGTGAGTGGAGGCAGCAGTCTTACATAAATGGAAGCATAGTTCACCCAAATTATGAATATGCTACAATATAAAAAATGGAATATCTAACTACTTCACCCTGTTTTTGGTGACAAACAGGTTGAAAACACCCTGCGTGAGTTAGCTTAGGTCTGTGGTATACCTGCAAATGTCACACTTACAGGAATAACTACACAATTACTTACACCTCAAATACTATAACTCCATGTTTGGGGATCTCGTGAACATACACATCTGTGGGAGACCTTTTGCTGGCAACTGTACAGCATTATACTATACAGTACATGCCAAACCAATTGTGAAATTGAATGGTGACTTTACCTAAACATTATTATTTTTTAAGAAATATGTCCAGATAGCAAACACGGAACACATTCATACTGATAAAAGCATTACTGGTAATAAAGTCAGCAATTCAGTAGTAAGGGGCCATTAAAAAATTACGTAACGCTCTTTTCTACCCAAATTTATACCCCCCCCCCACCCTCTGTAACATCAAGCCAACCCCCCCTAAAATATTACGTAACACAACCCTGAACAACCCCCCCTCCCGGACTCACAACACTGCTCCAGCTCACACCAATCAGAACTGTCAAGACTCTGGTTGACTTAACAGCTGCTTTACATACAAAGGGTTTTCATTTATCACGCAGCTCAGTTTATTTGCGACTACTGCCTAGAAATTCCTCAACTCGAGAGGGAAAACGACATGTGAAAACAGTTCCTGTTAAACTAATGAGGTCTGAAAATAGTGCACATTCTAGACATCCAGATATACTATTTGCTAGAACATCTCTCTTTCTTATCTGGAAGAGATTGCTTCTCTAGTTAGACCACTTGAAGTCACATTCCATTCACAGGATGACAAGGCAAGAGTTCCAATAGGTATTACCGCTGCAAACAAACAGGCTCCTCTGATAATGCATATGGAATATAAAGTTACTCTTAAGTGACCATGATTTTGTTGTTGCCCCTAAACACAAACTAATACCACCAGAATAGCTGGTATTTCAATGAAGGAAAATTGTATTGGAGAACAAGGGGTTACCTATTCTGGTCCAACATATATAGCCATACGAAGTGCCAAGCACACATCTTCAACTGCAATGGGACATCTGAGAGATAGGAAGAAAGTGCGTTCCTTACCACATTTTAATGAACAGGTGGTATGCCAAAACCAGTCATGATTGAAAACCCTAGGTATGAAAAACCACCAAGTGTGCTGTTGATTACTTTTGCAGATATGATCTAGATGCTTTCTTCATTGCAATAAATGCACCAGGTCGAAGTGCATTCAACAGAGTTGAACGACGTATGACCCCACGTAGGCCATGATCTAGATGGAGTCAACTTACCTCGGGATCATTTTGGAAGCCATCTAAATTCTAATGGAGAAACTGTAGATGAAGAATTGGAAGAGCAAAATTTTGCCCATGCAGGGAAAATTCTCGCAGACATTTGGTCAGCTACTGTTATTGATGGCTACCCAACAGATGCTGAATATGTTGATCCAGTGGAAGGAAATGAATCGGAAATCCTTGAAAAGAGTCCTTCCTGGTACGCAAAACATGTGCAAGAGAGTCAGTATTTTCTACAGGTCATCAAATCCCAAGATACAGCTTGCTGTAATGCACCAAGAAGTTCTTACTTTTCAGTTATTTCCAACAGATTCTTGCCATCACCACTCCCCCTTGTACAGACAGCAGCTGGCATATTATGTTGTCTTGATGATTTGAGTGCCAAATATCCACCGCTCGTTGTCAATTTAGCACTGGACAAATCTGTGCTACGAGCTCGGAAAGTTAAAAACTTTCCTAAAGGTCTACCATATGATTTGGCATGTCCTAGTCTGAAGAATGAGATACAGAAGCGCATCTGTGGAACATGTAGCGAATACTTTGCCTCAGTCAAGTCCATATAAAGAAACATTGCTCGAGTTGCAGTAGCCATTCAGTTGTGAGTGCTCCAACAGAAAAGCTTCGACCTCAAAGACTAGCTGTCAAGAGAAAGGGAATTCATGTGTGATGTCAAGTACCTGGGAAAAGAGGAGTATGAGTGGCACATGGAGGAAGAATTGGATACTGAGGGACTTGAAATGTCAACTGAGATCAGGGCTAACAAAGTAACACCAATCATGACTGTACAAAGTAGAGAACGAGTGTGGCAGGAAGACTGTTAGATCTGGGACAACACGCGTGAGCCACCCCCTGGACACTTAAATATTTAGACCGAGAACTGAGTTTTCAGAAGTATTTTGTTTTTTTTGACATGCAAACAATATATCAGGAAAATATTTCATAAAATATATATGCTTTCATTATTAAAGTTGCATTACTTGCTTTCACCATTATTTGAAAAAAAAACCAAGGAAAAGAATATGCATGCATTTGACAAGGTATAGAAGGACCTCAGTACATATATTTTCTTTGTAATTCTTAGTACACTTTTAGTATTAAAGACTTTCGAAGATTGCATCTGTATGATTTAGGCTTCATACCACCCACCACCCACCCCCTCTGCATTACGGAATTTTTGAATGACCCCTAATTTAGACAATTTGTTGAATCTGGATATCTTTTGATTTTAAGACACTTGTAATCTCATTATAAATACATTATTTTTGTCTATAAATGAACATTAATAAACTAATTATAAAGTCATTAATGCATCATCCAACGTTCTAAGAATATGTATTTAAGTTAGCCCTATAGGTTTATAGAAAAAGTTAAGTAAAAGAAAACTTAAATATTTAATCAGTAACTGCGTTAGATTTCCCAGACACCCCGGTTGACTCATTGCTTGCATGATGACCACTTT